GGGGTGACATGATAGCAGTCTTCCAATATCTCAGGGGCTGCCACAAAGAAGAGGGGGTCAAATTATTCTCCAAAGCACCAGAGGTCAGGACAAGAAACAATGGTTGGAAACTAATCAAAGGAAGAAGCAATCTGAAATTAAGGAGAAACTTCCTAACAGTGAGGATAATTATCCTCAGCACCATCCTATGGTTTGGTGGAAACCATAATTTTTTTTCTGTCCAAGTTTTGGAGGTTTGTGAAAAATTCAAGGCTTCACTTAAGTCGTATTTTCTGCTATGGCACAGTGGGAATCTTTTGTCAGTTTCTCAAGAGCAGATGCTCAACTGCGGGACAAGAAAAGAAAGCAAAGGTGATTTAAAGAGAGAGAGTTGGAGGGGGAAAGAGAATGAGAGATAAAGACAGGGAGAGAGAATGAGAATGAGAGAGGGAGAGCAAATGAAAGAGAGACAGAGGGAGAGAGAAAGAGAGAGAGAATGAGAGAGGGAGAGAGAATGAAAGTGAATGAAAGAAAGACAGAGAGGGAGGAGGAGAGAGAAAGAAAGAGAGGGAGAGAGAATGAAAGAGAGAGGAGAGAGAAAGAGAGAGAGAATGAGACGGAGAGGGAGAGGAGAGGGAGAGAGAGAATGAGAGAGGAGAGAGAATGAGAGACGAGAGAGGGAGGGAGAGAGAATGAGAGAGGAATGAAATGAGAGGAGGGAGAGAGAATGAGAGAGGGAGAGAGAGAATGAGAGAGGGAGAGAGAGAGAATGAGAGGGAGGGAGAGTGAGAATGAGAGAGAAAGAGAAAGAGAGAGAGACAGGTGGAGAGAAAGAGAAAGAGAAGAAGAGAATGACAATGGAGAGAGAGCGGGGAGAGACAAGGAAAGGGGGAGAGGAGAAAGAGATGGAGAGAAAGAGAAATGAAGGAGAGAAAGAGAAATGAAGGAGAGAAATGGGGGGAGAAAGAGAAATGAAGGAGAGAAAGGAGGAGAGGAGAAAGATGGAGAGAAAGAGAAATGAAAGAGAGAAAGGGGGGTAGAAAGAGTGATGAAGGAGAGAAAGGGGGGAGAAAGAGAAATGAAGGAAAGAAAGTGGGGTAGAAAGAGAGATGAAGGAGAGAAAGGGGGGGGAGAAAGAGAGATGAAGGGGAGAAAGAAAGATGAGAGAGATGAGGTGGTGAGTGGAGCGGAGGGCAAGGTGGGGCGGGGGTGGGGCGGGAGCAGGACAGGGGTGGTCCCCTGCTGGCTCCAGGCTGGCCTCGTGGATCTGAGACTGATTATGTTCTGGCTCAGATGGCCACCACCAGGTTGTAGATCAGCACCCAGTTGACCTGGGCTGGGCCAAGGCACTGCGGGCCTGTCCTTCTCTGTTTCCAGGGCAGCTCCATGGGCCAGATCTAACCACATCATGGGCCAGATCTGGCCTGCAGGCCTTGAATTCAATACCCATTAAGTAGACAATAAAATATGGTTATGTTGTGGCCCTCCAGTGGCCTGCGCGGATCGTGGCTGATCCCAACAAGGAGGCTGATATGGTGTCCCACTAGCAGCCGGCACAGCTGGCGCTCGCGTCGGACAGCGAGGACGCTGAAGAGGATGTGGTGCCAGAGGCAGAGACTCAGCCAGGGCCTTCAGAACCTCTAGAGGCTCCTTCAAGTGGAGATAGCGAAGTGGAGGAGCCTCTCCTCATTGCTCGAGCACACAGAGCTGCCAAAAGGCAGGAGTGGCTACTCAGGAGGAGGAGGTCTCCTTGAGAGTAAGGCTTGAGGATAATTGGCCTTAGCCTATTTAAGCCATTAGTAAGTTTCTTGCTAGAAACAACTTGTAATTATCATCAGAGCATTTTTGGAAAAGTCTTATCATATCTTGTTTTCTGGGCTGGTTGCCAACCTTTGCCGGACTTTGGTTTATTCTTGCTACTTAATAAATTTGATAAGGACTGTTGGTGTATGTCAATATCCTCGGGAATCAGGAGCTGGGGCAGAACAGGTTATGTAAATAAATATATTGGCATACATCATCAGTTGCTAGCTTCATTCCTTCTCCCCAAACATACAGAATTGAGCTATAAATGTTTTTTGCATAATAAATCTAACTGTTAAGGGAATAACATTTTGTATTCAATATTGTGCTCAGAAACAGTGTATCAAATATAGCTGCAAACAGTGGTGGGATTCTGCCGGTTCTAGGCGGTTTGGCCGAACCGTTGTTAAATTGCTGGCTCGCCCCGCCCCTTGACTCGCCCCTCCACACCACTATTTATTGGCCTCGATCCTCACAGCACACAAACTGTTTGTTAAACTGCTGGTTTGCCCGCCCCTTCCCACCACTATTTATTGCCAATAAATAGTGGTGGGTGGGGTGGATCGAGGGGCAGGGCGGGCAAATCAGCAATTTAACAAACAGTTCAGTGTTTTTTAATCATTTATTGGCCTTGCAGCACACCAAACTGTTTGTTAAATTGCTGGCTCACCCGCCCCTCGCCCCGCCCCACCCACCACTATTTATTGCCCTCGCTCACAGCTTGCCTGCAGTTATTCTTTTGCTCCTTGACTACGTGGCACAGCCTGCTTTCCTCACTTTGTCCACGGCGGCCTCCCACTCTGTTCCCCAACACCCACCTCAGACTGCCCCTGACCACTCCAGCAACAGAACAGGCAAGTACAGTGGAGTGCTGCCCTTGGGGAAGCGGGGCTGGGAAAGGTGGTCGACCTGTGCTCGCATGACTGCCGGCCGTGGCCTACCCCCATCTAAGCACCTTGCTAGTGGCTGGCGGCTATGTGGCTAGCGAGATGCTTGGATGGGGTTGCCAGCAGCTGTGAGCTGCTGGCTACCATATCCAAGCACCTCGCTGGCCACTACATCCAAGCGCCTTGCTGCCATGCAGCCGCCAGCCGCTAGCAAGGTGTTTGGATGGGGATAGGCTGCGGTCAGTGGCCGCGTGGCCAGCAAGGCGCTTGGATCAGGTGGCCAGCAAGGCGCTTGGATCGGGTGGCCAGCGAGGCACTTGGATCGGGTAGCCAGCGAGGCACTTGGATCAAGTAGCCAGTGGCTGGCAGCCGCTGGCTACCCCATCCAAACATCTTGGCTTGCCGCCGACCCAGCAGGACTGTTCCCACCCACGCGGTGGCAGCTTACCCAACCCCATCCAGTCACCTGGGGGAGACACACGACTTTTCTCCGCCCCGGAACACTGGCTGCCCAGGCTGCAGCCGATGTTCCACATCATAATGGGCTCCAGGAGGAGAAGGGGCACCGTCTGCCCCACTGCGAAGCTCAGTAAGAGCAACGAGAGCTGGCTGCAGCCGCAGCCGGGCGGGCGCATGCGCAGTGGGGCATAGGCTTAGGGTGCTGCCTCCAGGCCAAGGGGCGACCCGATGGTGCGGTAGATGCGCTGCCACCACCACTGCCACCCGGGCGGGAGAGGAGAAAGAGAGATGGAGAGAAAGAAAGATGAAGGAGAGAAAGAGAGGGAGGAGAAAGAGATGGAGAGAAAGAAAGATGAAGGAGAGAAAGGAGGGGAGAAAGAGAGATGAAGAGAAAGAGAGATGAAGGAGAGAAAGAGAGGGAGGAGAAAGAGATGGAGAGAAAGAGAGATGAAGGCGAGAAAGGGAGGAGAAAGAGATGGAGAGAAAGAGAGATGAAGGAGAGAAAGGGGGGAGAAAGAGATGGAGAGAAAGAGAGAAAGGAGAGAAAGAGGGGGGGAGAAAGAAAGAGAAGAGATGAGACCCAGAAATATCTGTTTAAAAGAAAATACTGGGAGGCACAAAACCTAGGTGGGAGTAAGTGATATGAAGTTGGCAATGCCCACCCAGATTTAAGGTTTTGTTTAAGTGTTTACATGTGTTTAAGGTTGAGTATTTAAGGTTGCAGACATCCGATCGCTTCACCCTGCAGCCAGCCCTGTAGGCCTGTGCCCATCTCCCATCTGGGCAGCAGCGGCCTACCTACCCTGGTTGTATCACCTTGCCCTGCAGCCGGCCCAAACGCCCACCTTGGACTGCCTCGGACTGCTCCAGCAGGTCATTTTTATTTAATTAATTTAATTAAGAATGCTGCAATGGGCATAAATGATCACCGGTCAAAAGTGCGAGGACCTGTCAGAAATCACTTTTTTCAGCCCTCTGGGTAGTCCCTATGTGCATATGGACTACTCAGAGGGCTGAAAAAGTTATTTTTGACCAGTCCTCGCACTTTTGACCAGTCCTTGAACTTACGACTGTCCTCACATTTTACGTTTTGCACCCTATCTTGTCACCGTGGTGAAGAGAAGTAGTGGTGAAATGACTGACACAGTTGTTAAGAATGCCGCAACGGGCATAAATGTGAGGAAGGTCATAAGTGCGAGGACCGGTCAAAAATGTGAGGACCAGTCAGAAATGACTTTTTTCAGCCCTCTGAATAGTCCCTATGTGCATATGGACTAGTCAGAGGGCTGAAAAAGTTATTTTTGACTCGCACTTTTGAGCAGTCCTTGAACTTACGACTGTCCTCACATTTTACGTTTTGTGCCCTATCTTGTCACCGTGGTGAAGAGAAGTAGTGGTGATATGACTGACATGGTTGTTAAGAATGCCGCAACAGGCATAAATATGAGGATGGTCATAAGTGTGAGGACCAGTCAAAAATGCGAGGACCATTGCATGCTCAATGTGTTTGGTCAATCAGTTACGAATCCATCTGGTTGTGGTGCTGTCTATCTTACCAAGTAGTTTGGGGTCTACTTTGTCAAATGCCTTGCAGAAATCCAAGTAAATATGAAGCATTTCCCTGATCACTAATTTAATTACTGTATTGCAGAAGGCAGTAAGGTTTGTCTGGCATGATGTTTTAACAAACCCATGCTCATTTCTAGTAATTGACTTGTTCATTTATAGTGCTCACAAATGTGCTATTTGATTATTGTTTTCCAGGATCTCCCCAGGTATTAATTCTTTATCTACTTACCAATTTTATTACCTCTTTTTTCTTGTATTTTTAAAAATGATTAGAATTTTTTTTTAAATAGCCCAGTCATTTACCTGATTGTCTATGCATCTTGCCCACCATACTAGTCGCTGGAGCATCATGGGAGAAGTGCTGCAGTTCAGATGAAGAGTGCTGAGGATAGAAGGGGAGCACAGGAGGCAAATTGGGAGGGAAGGAAAGGGAAGTAGTACTGGAAGAATAGGACCTGGGTTCCACTGACAGTTTCCTCTCGCTGGACATTTCCTTTTAAAATAAGGAAAAAGAGAAATAAATAAATACCAAAATTGGGATCAACAAGCGCAAACAGGTGGCCAGTACGGAGCCAGGAAATCAATAAAAGTTAGAATATGATAAGAAAAAAATGCACTTACAACATCACATTCTCCAGAACCCTATTTTAGCACAAATAATACATAAACATTAAAACACATCTTTTCAGCACCCATGGTGGCAGTGGTTAGAATGCAGTATTACAGGCTAACTCACTGCTCACTCTAGGAGTTTGATTTGGAGCAGCTCAAGGTTGATTCAGCCTTTCATCCTTCTGAGGTTGGTGAAATGAGGACCCAAATTTTGGAGGGCAATATAAATGTAAAATGCTTAGAGATTTAGCTGTAAAGCACTATGAAGTGGTATATAAGTCTATGTGCTATTGCTCCCCCCTCTTGGGTGCTGCTGCTGCTGCCCAACACTCTAATATAGCATGCCCACAAGCCACTTGCTGCTAACTTCCCAGTGTATTTCTTTTCTCTTTTTCCTCTGCTGCTGCAGCACATCCCTAATGTCCCCCTCCCCCATTCCCCCCTCCCCAATCTTCTACTGCAGGGGTGTCATTTCTTTGAAGGCTGGATAAGCATTGTAGTTCTCCTTCGTGGGTTGGTGGGGGAGTGGCGGGGGTAGGTGGGATGGATGCCTCTTGCAGCTCCCTGCCAGCCATAACAGGGTGCAGGGATCTAGGCAGAACCTCGCGCCTCATTTTCACCCTCCATGCAGCACTTTGCCAGCTGTTTTCGGCCCATTTTCGACCAGCTGCAGGCCATACTGCAGGCCATAGCTGCAGACCATACTGCAGGCCATAGAGGGCGAAAACGGCCACACAGCCCGTTTTAGCCCCCAGAGGCACCGTGGGCTGGTTCTTTGATATTTCCAGGGCCAGACTTAAGCACCCCAAGGGCTGGAGCCGGCCTGCGGGCCTTGAGTTTGACTCCCTTGTTCTTTTCTGCCTTCTTTTCCCACTCTGCCTTGTCCCCGCTCCTCAGCTGTTGTCCCTGACTGACTAAACTCCTCAGTTCTGGCCTTTTCCAACTTTTCCCTGAACTACTCCTGCTTGGAACAGTCACATTTGGGTTGATACCTGGAACAGAACAGCCCCAACCAGAACATTTGAAGCATCTCCATGCATGTTTTTAATTTTCATTCTGGTGGTGATCATTTTTCTCCTCATGGCTATAGCAACTTATGTTATGGCAAATGAAGAGTCAGATTCCTCAAAAATTCTGAGAATTTTTCTGAGAAATATCAATTCCTCAGGTACAGAAACCAGCACAGTTGAATATGTTTTAACTTCTAGAAGACATGTCAATTACTTAAGAATTTTTTTCATAGGAGATTCTTTAGAAATTTAAGAATCAGCTGGCAAGAATCAACTAAGGCATGTAAAAAAAATAATAGCATTCCTCTGCTGATTTTAATCACTCATTTTTCTTTTCTTTTGGCTATTTAGAACACTTCGACCAGAAATTGAGTAATGAAAAGAAACTATTAGGAATAAATAACTGCCCTAATTACCCAGCAAACCTAACCAAGCTAAATTATATTTTGCCAATCCTTCACCATGTGAGGATGGAATATAAGAAAATAACCCAAACTATTTTGATGGATGTTTGGATAAATGAGATGTTTAGGTTACTTATTGGGGGGTGTTGTACAATTTTGTTTCCTTTCTAATGTTTTCCTCTCGAGTGCAGGATCCACTTTTTTTGGTTCAGCTGAGTGTTGATCCATTGTTGTGACAGGAATTAACTGGCTTATTACCCGAACCTCATGTTGTGGGCTGAGAGAAAATGTGGCTGGCCCAAAGTCACCCTGATGGCTTTCTCCCCAATGTCTTATGTTAAATTGCTATACTGGCAAAATCTATTGACATCTCAGTTTAAATATGGCCATTTTCAGGTTCAGATATCGAAGTTATTATAAGTAATAGTTAAATCTTATGGGGCACAAAAGGCTCGTAATTTTTGTTTATAATAATTGTTAATTATTAACAATTAATTATTATATAAAGTAATTTGACACACTCATATTAATGACTGAATGGCACAAGGGGAATAGATCCCTATTTCATCTAAATATTGTTAATAAAAATGTGAAAATATATTAAATTACAGCTTTTTCAAGAAACAATATTTTGGACTTATTGGACCTCCTTATTACCTCTGTATTGAAAAGGAACACATACATTTTTCAGATCAGTGTGAGGTAATGATTAGGTGTTGATTAGCAGCAGGGAGACCAAGTTTCTAGTCCACCTAGTCCAGATGTTCACTCGGTGACTTTGGCCCAATAAAATGTTCTCAATTCAACCTACCTCACGGGCGAACCTGTAGTTTAAAAAAAAAGCTACCAATTCGGTTGAACTGGCAGTTTAAAAAGCTACCGGTTCCTCCGAACTGGTATTTCTGACGATCAGCTGTACAGCGGAGTTTAGTTTTGCTAGAAAGCAGGAAAACCTGCTTTGTAGCAAAACTAAATTGCACGCCACAGCTGATTCCCCCTGCTATTCTACTTACCTTCCCAAGGCTCCTTTTGGTGTGTACTGTGCATGCGCGCACGCAGCATTCACCGAAAGGAGGCTTGGGAAGGTAAGTAGAACAGCGGGGGGGGGGAGGAGATGATCAGCTGTGCAGTGCAGTTTAGCTTTGCTAGAAAGCAGGAAATCCTGCTTTCTAGCGAAGCTAAATCACATGCCACAGTTGCCCCCCCCCCTTGCTTCTACTTGCCTTCCTCCTTTTGGAGTGTGTAGTGTGTGCATTTGGTGCGCAGTGCACAGCCAGTGAACCGATAGCAAACCGGTTCAGATTTGACCACTGGAACAGGGTATTCTTCCTGTAAAACCTTTAGCAATCACACTAAACCAATAAAGTGCAGTAGTTCAAGAAATTTCCTTTTAAACCATTTTACTTACAAAATTCTGAGAAGAAGCAAGTTTCTCTTCTCTGCTTGTGATGGCTGTCCCACTGAGACTGCGTGCAATGCGACGGAAGTTCTCTGCACTATAGGTTTCCTCCTCTGGCTCCTGGCCAGTATATGGCAACTGTATTCAGAAAGAGAACTTAATGGTAAATGAATGTACAGAATCACATTACTCAAGTACTCCTACAACATCATGGACTGAGTTCATTTTAGGTTTTTATTAACTAACAAGTTGAATCTGCTTTGATATTTGTGAGTTGAGAGACATACATTACATTACATTATTTCTCAGGCTAAAGCTGTTTTATTCATTAAACTTGTGGAACAGGATTCCTCATCAGAAGGAAAGGAAGAACTGGATTATAAATATTATTGACCTTGTGAAATTGTTTTGAATTTAATTGGAGCTGGAACGAAGACGCTTTTTTGGCTTTCTTGGCCTATGTGGTTTATTGGGACAGTGAGGAATTTGGTAGGGCCTTTTTGGATTACAAACATCATTTGATAGACATTCTGGGAGGTAAAAGAAGAAAAATGAAACAATAGATAGACTTGGACAAGGGAAAACTGGATCTTAAAACAACCTGTGATCTTAACTAACTTTGTTTATTCCCCCGCCCAAATAGACTCAGTATATTAGTATTGGTATTGATATACGCTGAACGTATTGCAAAATTAATCGTAAAAAGGTATTGATGGTGTAATTAGGTTAAGATTAGTATTGTAGACAAACAGAAAAAGGAAAGGGAGGGGGGAAGGAAAAAAAGAGCACTCCAAATATAACTAAAATAGGAAAGAAAGCATCTTATACACCGACATCTGCAACATCCATCCCATCAAGTCAGAGATCAATAGATGTATTGATATAACAAGAGAAAATGAATAGCTTCCAAAAAGAAATACAGGCAATGTTCCAATCTATTCAAGAAGCTATTGTTGCACAGAAAGAAGAAATAAGGACGAACCACAGCGAGGTGAAAGGTGACTTAGGAGAAATGAAAGAACAGATTCAGAATATGGATGGGAGATTAGAGAATTTTCAGCAAAAAATGAACAAAGGATCCAGAAAATAAGAGGATAAATCAGAAGAAACCGAAAAAAGAATGGAGGAACTGACACAAGCAAATAAAAACCTCGAGGAGACAGTTATCATTTTAGAAATGGAGAAGGCAGCCCATTTCCTAAGATTCCAAAACATAGAGGACAAAGAAGATCTCCCTGAAGTGATAGCAGAGCTATTGGCAAACACGCAGGTGGTTCGGAGAACCAGTAACAAAAATCCCTGCCCCTCCCCCATTGCCCAGCTGAGCCGCGCAATCATCAGAGATTTTTTTTTAAAAAAATGTAAAAGCATTTTTTCTACAAACTCTTTGGCCAAAAAAATGCTTTTAAAAGTAAAAAAAAAAAAAGCCTCTGATGATCATGCGGCTCAGCTGGGATCATCAGAGGCTTTTAAAAACATTTTTTCTACAACCTCTTCAGCCGAAGAGGTTATAGAAAGAATGTTTTTAAAGGGAAAAAAAGCCTCTGCCAATCAGGCAAATCAGCTGGGATCATCAGAGGCTTAAAAAAAAAGAAAGAAAGAAAGCTTCTGCTGATCCCCAATTGTGAAGCGCACTAAATTTAACTGTGCTGAGCAAGCATTTAAATAAATTTAACTGTGCTGCACCATGGAGAAGCCAACAGTAGCGGCGAAGAGAAACGGGCAGGCCAGACCAGTGTCTCGGGGCAGAGAGGAAGTCACGTGTCTCCCCAAGTGACTGAGGTGCAAGCAGCACCAACAAGGGCTGGAAGAAGTGCCCACGAAATAAGGCAAGTACAGGAGCGTTTCGCTCCCACTCTGGAATATGGAGCGAGTCTCCATCCCCCGCCCTTCCCTTCTCAGGCCAGGCAAGGAGTGACTGGGACAGGAGGGTGAGACGCAGGGCCAGCCAATGGTGAGTTCAGCCAACAGGGAGCCACAGCAGGGGGAAGAAAAGAGCCACGGGTTGCCGATACCCATTGCTTCGGCCCGCCTGCACTGCCGCCCTCCTTGCCACAACAGCACCATTACCTCATTCCGGCTGGCGAAGGCTGCACTACTCCTTGCACGTTGCACCACCTGCAAAATTGCACGTTGCACATACCTCCCTCTATGGCAGAGATTTCCAGCCCCACCACAAGCTGCCTGGCCGGTCCCATATTCCAGAGCTCTAGTCACAGGAGTGGCCCATTGGTCATCCCGGAGCAGCTCCTCTATCCGGGTGCACTGCGGACCACCAAAATTTTCTCGTGGACCGCCATGGTCCATGGACCACCGGTTGATGACCACTGACCTAGGCTATCAAGTGTCAAGCAAGGGAGTAGAAATGGACCCAGGAAAAGTAAAAGCTATCCTGGAGTGGCAACCCCCTCAAACCCGCAAGCAACTGCAGAGCTTTTTGGGGTTTGCAAACTTTTACCAGCAGTTCATCCCCTCTTTCATCAAAACAGCCCTGTCCATCACCAAACTGCTAAAAACAGGGAAAGGGAGGGCCAAATGCGACCCAGCCAGCTGCTAGAGTGGACCGTGAAGTGCCATTTGAGAAACTCAAACAGCTATTCATGGAAGAACTGGTCCTAAAGCACCCAAACCCTAAGGAGCCATGTCATTCAGGCAGATGCCAGTGATGTATCCGTAGGGGCAGTCCTCCTCCAGAACAAGGAGGGGAACTTTCAACCACGTGCCTACACCTCCAGAAAACTCACCAACACTGAATGAAGGTGGGCGATGTGGGAGAAAGAGGCTTTCGTGGTCCATTGGGCACTATTAACCTGGTGGCACTTCCTAGAAGGTAGCCAAATGCCGTTTGAAGTATGGACTGATCACAAAAATCTGGAGGCCCTTAGGTCCCCATGGAAGCTTTCTCCCAAACAAGTTCAATGGGCACAGTATTTTAACTGATTCGATTTCACCCTTCTCTGTGTCTATGTCTCTCTCTCCCTCCCTATCTCCACCCCTCTCTCCCCTCTCCCCTCTCTCTGTCTCTCTCCCTCAGTTTTTGGGGAGGAAAATAAGAAAAAAGCTGATTGGCGGGTGGATCGGCCTCCCGGAATTTTAGCAATAGGTTCATTAGTTCTGAGCTCTGAGTTCTGAGCTCTGTGCCTTATTTTCTTTTGCTTTTTTTTTTCTGCCTCTCAATCTTCTGAAACTCCATTTCAGAAAAAACATTTTTTTTTGCCCCTGAAAGCCTCCAAAACAGAGCTTCAGAAAAAAAGCCTCTGAAGCTCTGTTTCTGAGGCTTTTTTTCTGAAGCTCTGTTTGGAGGCTTTTTTTTCTGAAGCTTTGTTTCCAATGCTTTTTTCAACCTCTGAAACCTCCATTTGAGAAGCTGGGTGGGGCTACATTCACATAAGACGCACCCAGATTTTCACTCTCTTTTTTGGGGGGAAAAGGTGCATCTTATATTCCGAAAAATACGTTAGTACATGTCCTTTTTACATTTTCTGTACTTAGCCTTTTTATCTTTCAGTTTATCAGAGAGATCTTCGTGCAACAATGCTGGTTTCTTTTTGGATTTCCCGTTTTTATTTTTCAGTGGTGTTGTGCTAAGTTCTTCAAAGTTTCCCAAACTTCTTGAGTTGTTTTTCCCTTTAAAATTTTCACCATGGAATCCTTCCTGAACTCTGAGTTTGTTAAAATCAGTTCTTTTAAAGTCTAAGACACTGGTTTGGTTAAAACAAACAAGTCCAGGTTTACTTCTAGCAACGAAGCCAAGCAAAGGTGGGGACAATGCAGTAGTTTACAAAAATAACTTTGTGGAAGTTATTTCCACAATAACTGGGTCCTAAAGAGGCAAGATACTGCTATGTACAAACTGTTACAGTTAAGAATTAGTAGGCACACATAAGACTGAGAATTTGAAAACTAAGGATTCCCCTAAGCCTTGCCAATCACAAATGTGTGCATTCAGTAGGGAGCTGCCCTGAATGTAAATGCCATTTCTGCAAATCTTCAGTGCCGGAATCAACTGACACCTTGCTCTTCTCCATTTTGTTGTAAAGCTAGTGAACTCCAAGATCTTACCTGGTTCGATTGCTTTGAATTGCTTGAGAATACCTGTGTAACCTGTTTGGCTTGAAAAATCAGATGTTTGCTTTCTCAAGTTGTTACTCCTAGACTTTATAAAAATGTAAAGACCCCCTTGAATTAAGTTTGATTCCTACTTTACTGTTGTTTCTTGGCATCAGTATGGAAGTGGTTTGTCATGGTCTTCTTCCAGATATTCTTCAATTTCCCATCAAAATGGGAGATTCACAATGCTTTTTATCATTTTAGATTAATATGATTCCACAGAGATAGCTCTCCAATGGATATTCATACTCTGGTAACTTCCTTTTTGGACTTCTGGAAAGCATTTGTGAGGTTGTCTTTGAAAATAGCCAAGAAACATCAGTTGGTTCAGAACAGGGTTATTGGTAAATGCAATGAGCCGGTTAATGCAATGAGATAATCCCAGTACTTCTGCCACCAGACTGCATCTGGACCAAGTTCTAACTGCTAGTGTTAAAACTCTAAATCCTAAATAGCTTTGTGGCAGCTACCTGAAGAAGCATCTCCTACCTGGTTCTTCAGATCTGAACCTGAGATTTTCCTCTGCAAATGAAGCAAGGTTGTAAGAGAGCTTGTCCAGTGGCGGTATCCGATTTATGGAACATACTCAGCAGAGTGACTAAGGCAGTGCCTACTTTATAGAACTTTTTTGTGGAAACTCAATTCTGTTTTTATTCTTTGGCCTTGTGGAAGTTTAAAATTATTCCCTTTCTGAATCTCTACCATATGCAGTACTTATCTAAATAATTCACTGTTAGAATGGCTTGATAAATATATCAAGGTAGATAGTTATGCATTTTATATTGTAATCAGTTGCAATAGTAAGCTATAGAAATCTATCATACAACCATTGTTTTAAATTTAAAATAAAAACAGAATAGGATTAATATTCAGTTACTGTATCTAAGGTCTTACTAGTAATAATCTCTTGCACAACTGTAAACAGAAAGAGGTATTGCACACTCTATCTGAAATGTTTATTATCTATTTTTAATGTTAACATGTGTAAAATATTTCTACTTTGTTACATTTTTTCATCTGTACAAGTAGCATTCCCATAACCCAGTTCCCATTCTAGCATATCCTTACATGTGTTTTAGGATCTGGCGAACCAATATTTCCACAGATGTTGTTTTCAGGTTCTGCTGTTCTTGACAGACCCCTACATGGTTTTTTTGTAGGCAAGTTTGCTGATGCAGGGAAGAAAAGGAAGGAAAAAAGATTAAACTGAAGTTCCGTCTACATGATCTTTTAGGTCTCTTTGAAATAAAATATATCCTCTTAATTTTCTATGTGGAATTCCATTTTATATGGTTTAATTAATTTCCCTAAAATGAAAATTGACAAAGCTCGTAATAACTGACAGGAAATAAATGTCAGTTTATCATTCATTTAAATATTCACCATAATTAAAGTCAGTTTCTCTGTTTATTATTGTGAGCTTCTTCTATTTTCATCTTAGGGAAATTGATTAAATTACATAAAATGCAGTTCCACATAGAAAAGTAAGAGGATATACTTTATTTCAGGGAGATCATTATAAAAGAGAGAGAACTGCTGCAAGGCTTTTCCCTGAGGATCAGATATCACAAAGAACAACATACTATTGCCCAATTTTTTTTTGTTTCCAACTGAGGTGTCAGTTTTTGAGAGTTTTAATCAATGTCCTTTTCATAATAAATGTTGTGCAGTAAATAAAGAATAACATAGCATCAAAATAGTTTTGTTAAATGTAACATAAAGATCTTGACACATACTTTTAACAAACTTTGTTTCAAAAACATTTGTGCTCAAATACTTTATATTTAGGAAATGCAGTACATTTTCTCCTAATGTATTAATGTCAGTCAGCCTAATGCAAACTAAAATCATGCTGGCCTTTCAATATAAATCTAAATTCACACATATTCCAAGGTATTAGGAACATGAAGACTCCCTAAGAAAATACTTCACATAGAACATAAAATAATTTTACCTGTTTTGTTCAGTGCCAGTTTGGGATTGTCCAGGTTTCCCAATAGAGGTACTTGCATGCTGGCCTGGTACAGAGATTCCAGCTCAGAAACCTCCTGCACTGTTTCCTGATTCTGCACTGGGTAGTCCCCAAGAGCTCTTTGACTGATCACAGGTGATTTGTTTCCAGGTATCAAAAGCCAACTGGCATTCTTATGCTGAATTACTGCTGTGCTAAAATTGTTAAGATGGTCTGTGCAGCTCTCTCCAGGCACAGATGCAATCAAGCCAGCAGAATTTCTGTAATTGGTATATTTTGTTTTTTCCTCACAGCTGCATTTTCCTGGATATAACTTGGGACTCAAGGTACATTGTTTCCCTTTGTTGCAGAGAACTTTTATATGTGAATCAGAACTTTCAGAAATGATGTTGGAAGCATTAAAACAATCTTCAGAACTCAACTCAATTTTAGAAAGACTTGAGTCCGACGTTTCAGCAGGTGCCATTCCATTCTCCTGTCTTCCAACATCTGACCGCTCGAGGTAAAAATGACTACTGTAGGATTCTTGCTGTAACTTTGGAGTATTTTGATCATGACAGGTAGCTGCCTTCCTTTTTTCCTCATAAGTATCTAGTCTTTGGAAATTTCCCTCCAACCACTGAAGCTGTTCTGCAATGGAAAGAACATGCCTTTTGCTACTTACACCTTCGGATTTCAAAGAATCCCCACTAACAAGTTCTTGTGGATGATGTAAACTCTCATGACTGTTTACCTCAAGTTGCCCAGTTGTCTGCAATTCTTCTGGAGCACAATGAAGAAGAGAGGGAAGAGAAGGCAGTATTGCACCATGATAATCCCTAGGTGGAGCAGCACTAGGCCATTCTGAAATGCTTCCTGAATTGAAGAGCGGATTATGTAGGCCTTTTTTGCCAAGTGGAATTTCCGATGCTGGTGAAGAGGGGAAGAGTGTAGGTAATGATTCAGAGTTTGTTATAGTTAAATTCATTTTGCAGTAGGGGATGAGAGGAGATGCTGCATTATGTAGGTTCTTGACCTTAATGTTACTGTTGTGATCTTCGTAATCCTTTAAAGTGCTAGGAGAAGCAAGTTTCACATCACCATTGATTTTATTCTTAGTCTGAATGGATTGATCGCTACCAGGTTGTCTAAAAGGAAAAGTAGTAGCTTCATCACTGAAAGTAACAGACACAGCTTGAAAGTGCAGGCTGTTCTCAAGAAGGGGTTGAAATATGGGCTTGGAATATGATGATTTCTTTTCAGGATGGGAAGCAAGTGGATGGACGTAGGCTCTTGACCCAGGTGCTGCTTCTTTGCTGGGTTCCAGCACACTCTTCTGTTTCAGCAGTACTTGGAGTGGGATAGTCTGTTTACTGAAACACACATTAAAACATCATCAGTGACTGATGACTCCTAATTAGAAATATTAGGCTAAGTTAAAATCTACTAAGTTAACAAGGTACATATTTTATCAGTGTTTTCTGGTATCAAGTATGTGTGAGTGTAAAATTATTGCATGGTTGCATGCATAGTTGTTAAGCTGATCAGAATTTTTTCTGGTATTAGAATGGCACCAAGAACAATTATCTATTTTGGTAAAAATAATTTTTCATTGAAGAGTTCCACCAATGATCAACAATTTCAACCTCAAGAATGTATGTATTTTAATATATTCTTGAAGTTTTGAGTCAAATGGAGAATATCCTCATCGTGGACTAAGAACATGCAATTCTTTACTGTACAGGAATATCACATTACAATAGAATTCTTCTTTTAGAACTGTTTCCCTCTTTTCCGCTTTAACTTTTTTTCATCTGTAAATGTTCAAAAAACGTCAACCACTTACAATATGACGCAATCAATATCTACTGAGAAATAGTGACTACATGAATGTTAATTAGATAACATTCTTATGTTTATTTCTAAAATAATATTATAAACTTGTTCAATATAATACATAAAATAGGAAATAAAATAGGGGGAAATCAGTTTATTTATATGATTCTTATTTTCATGTAGAATTGTATTACAACTAAGTACATTTAAATTAGTCTAACAGCCTGCACCGCTATGGACAAAAACGCTGAAGAACTTTTCCTTTTTAATAAGAGTTCCACTTATTATAAATATCACAACTCTTGATAGTAGAAACAAGGGGTTGTAATAATAAAGTATGCTGTGTGAAGCAATTAGGATTTTTTATGGTAGGGCAAAAGGTATCAGAGATTAAGCAATTTTGGCCATTCAACTTACTTCCAGGGTCTCCAAACCTCTTAACCCCCATACTAGCTGTTAATCAGTGGCATGGTTTCCTGCCATTTGAGGTAAGAAACATATGGAAATAAGCTTTTTTTTTTTTTTTGCTTGTGCCTTCCAGTCAATGTTAATTCCTGGCAGGAGCTTCAGTTTTCTTGGTAAGACTTCAGAAGTAGTTTCTATTGCCTCCTATCTGGGGCTGAGAGAGAGTGACTGACCCAAGGATACTTTGTGCCCAAGATGCGACTACAACTCAGGGTCTCCTTGTTTCTAGCCTGGTGCCTTAACCACTATAACCAAACTTGTTCACAATAAGTAAAAATTAGTTTAACATTATTTTGAAAAAAAGGAGAGCATTAAAGAAATAAAACTCTTGGCCATGTGTGCCATGGCCCAAACATTTTGCTTCATTGCCCTCCAAATGATGAATGTTAGTCCCTGACCATAAATATGCAGTTTTGCTAAATAGCAAAAAAGAACAATACTAGGAGAAGATTGGAAACCATACAAAAAGATCCTTAAATTAGTCGTTTTCCTATATTATAACAACAACTTTAACAATATCTGCCTATCCCAGGTCCTTGGGGAGGACTCGATAAGTGAATAGAAATGCCAAATCCAGCCTAAACAGTGACTGGGTGAGTAGCCATAATCTTGGCCCCCACTTAGAAAAACTTTCCATCTCTCAAATGCAAAAGGCCACACTGCCTGGAACTGCACATATACCATGCCGATACATTATACTAACTAGGTTCTTGGGAAGAATTCAATTCTAAAGAGTGGGCAGCTGTGACTTTACATTATTTATTATTTTTTTCCTATCAATAGTGTTTTTATTTTTTCCATATTATTCTCAGACGTAGAGCTAGAGCCTGATGGAGTAGCTCCTTCGAATACAAATAGTAGAGACACACAGAGTGAAAGGATGATTGGCTGGCTGGTGAATTCTGGGGGTCCACAGGTCTTCAAGTTGCCAAGGTTGGACACCCCTCCTGTAGCACATAAAGAAGAGGAGGAACTTTGAGAAATCATTGTTACCATCCTGATTTATCAGATTAACAGAGTTGGAAGGGACCTTGGAGGTCATCTTTTATGTTTACATTATTGTAAACATAAAAATCCTAATGAGATACTAATAATGTATATCTGATCCTGATTTATAGTTTGCTAGAATTTCTGCTTAAGGTCATATTCTTGTTGTTATTGGCTATCGTGTTACTATTATGATAAATAATCGAAGATACTATTATGATAAACAATTTAGTACAAAAACACAGCTAAACACAACATTGCATAAAGTTTGCATCCAAGTCTCTTTCAGATACAGTAAAAAAAATCGTAAGGAATAGGGTAGGGAAAAATTCAACTAGGACACATCTAGTTCTTTTGCTTATGAAGAAAGTATTGTTGGTTCTAAAATCTTTCAAGTTCCAATAACAAAAAGTAATTTTGGAAGTGCAGGAAAGACCTATATCCCACATATACTTTTCAAACCATTATTTATAGTCATTCAGAAAACTCTTCAATTGCACTGCCAAAACATAGTAGTTTCCTAATTTTGGGGAAATTTTAAGGTAGAAAAAGCAAACTATGCAAACTATACCCAACAAGTAGAAAGGATTATTTAGAATAAGCTTCCAATATTTATTAAAACTAAAAAAAAAACCTTTGGGAATATACCAGATGGCAGTTTATCAGCACTATGGTCAGGTTAGGATATAGCATTTTATATATCTGTACCTATTGCAGGACCTCAACTTCAACTAAAATAGGTTATTAAGAAGCTGCTTTTTGAGATTTTTTTTTTAAAAAAACAAGCATTGTTTATTAGAAACCAGCATGGGTTTATCAAGAATAAATCATGTCAAATGAACCTGATTTGATAGTGTGACCAGCTTAGTTAGCCATAAGAATGTGGTAGACTTCAACAATGTAGTTGGCAAAGGCTCTCATAAAATTCTTGTAGAGAATTTTAGGGCTGGATTATGCTACCATTAGATGGGTACAAAAATGGCTGATTGATTGTCCCAGCCCCAATTAATTCAAATGGCCCTGTGTCAAAATTGAGGGAAATGTCAATTGGTGTACAGATTTCCATTCTTATACCGCCATTCTTGAACATATTTATAAATAACTTGGATAAGTGGTTAGAAAATATCAAATTTGCAGACTACACAAACATAGGGGGATAGCAAGGACCTTTGAGATTATAAAGATTCAGGAGGATATTGACAAGCTGGAACAATCAACAACAATCAGCAAGATTAATTTTGCCAGGGATAAAGTTCTACACTGGAGTAGAAATTTTTTTAAAAAACAAAGGTATTCCTGCAGGATACCAGGGTACTCTTGTGGGCTTTGATACACTTGAAAAGGACCTGGACTAGAAGCTAAATATGAATCAATAGTGTGATGCAGCTGCTAAGAACATGCAATTATACAGTAGTGTCAAGAGCAAAACAAGCATTTTCCTCTTTATATACTTTATATACTTGTATATATAAATCCTTCTCTGTTCTCTGTGTGTATGATTTTGTGTGTGTGTGTGTGTGTGTGAGAGAGAGAGAGAGAGAGAGAGAGGGAGGGAGAGAGAGAGAGAAAGAGAGAGAGAGAGAGAGAGATTTAATTTACAGTGCATTCAGAAAGTATTCAGATCCCCATCACTTTTGGCAATTTTGTTGTGCTGCAGCCTGATTCTACAATTGTTGAACTTCATTTTTTTCTCATTAGTCTACACTCAGTACCTCAAAATGACAAAGTGAAAACAGAAGCTTAGAAATATCTGTAAATTTATTAAAAAGAGAAAACTGAAATATCACATTGGCATAAGCATTCAGACTCTTTGCAATAACACTTCAAATTTAGCTCAGGAGCCTCCTATTTATCTTGATCGTTGCTGACATGTTCCTACACCTTGATTGGAGTTGACCTGTGGCAAATTAAATTGATTGACATGATTTGGAAGGCACACTCTTCTCTATAGAATTCCCCATAGCTGACAATGCATACTGTAGCAGAGCAAAAGCCATAAGGTCAAAGGAACTGCCTGCAGAGCTCAGAGCCAGGATTATTGCAAGGCACAGATCTGGGGAAGGCTACAATAAAATATGCATTGCTGCATTGAAGGCTTCTAAGACCACAGTGGCCTCCATAATTCTCAAACAGAAGAAGTTTGGGACAACTAGAGCTGGTTGCCTGGTCAAACTGAGCAATGGGGAGGAAGGGCCTTAGTAAGAGGTGACCAAGAAACCTGATAGTAACTCTGAGTTCCAGAGATCCTGTATAGAGATGGGACAGAGTTCCAGAAGGACAACCATCACTGCAGCCCTCCACCGATCTGGGCTTTATGACAGAGTGGCTAGACAGTAGTCTCTCCTCAATGCAAAACACATAAAAGCTCTCTTGGAATTTGAAAAAAAGCATCTGAAGGACTGTTAGGAACAAGATTCTCTGGTCTGATGAAACTAAAGATTGAACTGTTTGGCCTCCATTCTAAATTTTATGTCTGGAGGAAACCATCACTTGCCCATTATCACCCCAACAGTGAAGCATGGTGGTGGTGGCATCATGCTATGGGGGTGTTTTTCAGCAGCAGGGACTGGGAGATTGGTCATGGTTGAAGGAAAGCTGAATGGAATAAAGTACAGAGATATCCCCAATGAAAACCTGTTCTACAGTGCTCAGGATCACTTTCTGACATGACAACAATTCTAAGCACGCAGTCAAAGATAACACAGGAGTGGCTTAGGGAAAACTCTGTGAATGTCTTAAGAGTGGCCCAGCCAGAGCCCTGACTTGAACTCTGTTGAACATCTCTGAGGGGACTTGGAAATGACTGTCCATCGACAATTGCCATCCAACCTGACTGAGCTTGAGAAGATTTGCGGGGAAAAAATGGCAGAAAATCCCCATTCCAGGTGTGCAAAGCTTGTGTAATACCCAAAAAGACTCACAGTAATTCTGCCAAGAATGCTTCAGACCCTGAGTGAATACTTATGCCAATGTGATATTTCAGTTTTTTCTTTTTAATAAATTTACAGACATTTCTAAAATCCTAAAATAGGTCAGGAAAAGCTGCTAATGACAGAGACAGACACTTATCCTGAACTTATGCCCACTTTAAGCCATAGAAACAAACAACATAGAAAGAACCAAAGGAGTAGCTATCATTTAAAGATTTCACAGAAAACTTTGCCACACATAATTTCTGTGCAGTAATGCCCTCTTCTTTTTGAATTTATGTGGTTAACAGTTTCCCAATTATATTGTCACTTCCCAGCTGGATCCATGTTGTAGATACTAACCCTGCATCAAATGTAAAAATATTATATACCTGGGGTTCATTCTAGAATTACCCTGAGAGTCCATCATATTCTTTATCATTCAAGATCTGAGTAAAATAATTAAGTTTCATACAACAGGGGAAACTTATTGTTGAATGCTTCTTTCCAGATCAGGCCCAATTCAGATCTGGAGTATGCCAATATTTTTTTAGTCTACCTTGTAGATTGGGTCATGTTGCCGCCCGGTGGTGGGTGGCAGGTAGGTGGCGGTTGTACAGGTTGTTGCTGCTGCATGCGATCCTGAAGGCTCCGCTCTTTTCGGACATAGATTTGCAGCTTCTTATCGATTAGGGCTCTGCTCTGAGTGCTAGAGCTGGCATCATGCATGGCAAGTCTTAGTTTAGCTAAAAAGCAAAAGAAAACATAGCAGAAACAAAAACAAAACTCAGGGAAGGAGAGAAAAAAGTAATGATGCAAAAAAAATTAAAAAGGAACATGCAAATACTGCCATGAAAAAGTTCACAAGGATGCATCTCTTCCCAGTAAGGCACATTCAGGTTAGCTACATGTCCAAACAAGTTAATGAGAAATAAAAAGTAAAATTAAGCAAGATTTTAAATGGTTTTTAATGAAATGCCCTTGGTAACTTAAGTCGCTGTAATCCTCATACAACTAACCATTTAAATCCAAATACTTGTCTCTAGTCCCAGTTAGCTGAAACCCAATAGGCAGCCAGGTGAGACATTTGCTGGCAAAGCTTTCATGAAGTCTGCTTTTGCTTTCTTGTTTTGTTAATCCATTAGAGCAGATTTGTAGAAACAAATGCTGTTAATCATCCAAAGCCAGTTTGTCTGCAACCTTGCTAACCAGCAAGAAGAGAATGGAGAATGGGAAGGAGAGTTAGCCAATCAAAAATATGAGTTATGAAAATAAAAAAATGCAGCAGCACAAATTCCCAAAAGTTACAGCACATATTTAAACAATGACCCCTCCTTTTCCTCATCTTCTTGTTATTTCAACGACTGTATACATTTTGCTTTTTTGAATGAAAAAGCAACTTTGGGAATTAAAACTTTTTGATAAACCAGTTTCTGAACTGAGAAAATTATGTGCAGAAGAAAATGCAGGAAAGCACAATTAGCAGATAAAATAGGTGGCATCAAGAATTCATCTGCTTTTCTCAGCTTTCAACAGAAGGAGCCCCAGTAATAAAAAAGAATAGTATATTCTGATATTACAAGAAAGAAATAACAAAAAAATCAGAAAAAGACATATTTTACATCCCCCCTTTCTGATTTATTTTGCATTAAACAATTAGTTCTGTTAACTTAGGTTATGTTAATAGATATTAATAAACTGTACAAAACAGAGTAAACTGAAGCAGTTAATAAATACTTACATATAGCTTCATTGCAGAGAGCCAAAGCTGCAGCACAATCTCCCTTCTGCTCTTGATGCAGTGACTCTTGAAAGATTGAATCTGCCTCTTGCATAGGCCTCTCAAAGCCACCAGTCCTCCCTGCAAGGGCAGTATTCTTGGTTTCCATTCCAGGCTTCTTTTCATCTAAACAGCCCCCACCCTTCCCCACCCCTCCCCTGTTTTTTAACAATTCATATTGCAGATCACATATCTTGAAGCCTGCTTCTTTAAAACCTGTCTGGAACCAATGCAAGGAATATGCATCAGAAGCAAAGGCATGTATAATGTTAAAACAATGTTCTGGGTCCCTTTTCCAAGCTGGGATATCGCAAACACCAGCAGCAATCCAGAGGTTTGCTCTTGGGGCAGCTTCAGAGAAAATGGGGTACAGAGTCTTTGTTTTAGGAGGACTGGTCCTTGGTGTGGGCTTGGGGTGTGTGGGTTCTAGTACTTTTGACACAGTCAAAAACTCAATTTTAATTGTCCTTCCTGGTGTCTGCTGACTTGCCTTTTGTTAAGTAGATGGTGTCTGGCCAGACTGTTTCTGGGTGTGGGGAAGTGTGACTGAAGAGGTTCTTTCTTTGTCTGGTTAATTACTCTTGGTTTTGGTACTTGGTCTTGCTACTGTCAGATGATAACTTAGCAGAGGTACAATTTAGCAATCAATCGTTACAATGTATCTCCCAGAATTTCCAATCTCAGTGGATCATGGATTTGTGTTAATGGTTAAGGGATAGCTGAGACAGTGAGAAAAATAAAAGTTAATTTGGAATAAAAAATATCCTATGATTACTATTGATTATTAAAATAAAATTCTTTCCACAATAAGTAGGGAAGTTATACAGCATAGAGGGTTGGAATTGGGTCTCATTAACATGTTAATGAAACCCAGTTTTACAAATCAATTTAATAAATTGAGCTGCAGTACACAGAGTACTTGGAAATTAAATCCTATGAAAATGATTAAAAGAAATGGACCATGTTTAGCCTAAAGAACAGAAGACAAAAAAGAGACATGACAGCAGCCTTTCAATATTTGAACACCATCAAAAGAAAGAGGATATGGATCAGTGGTGGGATTCAGCTGGTTTGGGAGAACTGTTTGTTCACTTTCTGAGCAGTTTGGCGAACCGGTTGTTGGGGTGTACTTTTTGGGTGTACTTCCAAGAGGCAGGATGTAAGCTTGGCACTCTGATTTTTTTACTGCCTTTCTGGGGGCATGTGATCTTTCCTTAAATCTGGATGATTTCCTTAGGATATCTTGTGAGGTGACTGAGACCAACTGTTATCTTTAAGTAGTGCAAATGGATCTAAGGATTGCTTCTCCTGGGTGTGAAAGGGTGCTTTGTCAGTTCACTGATCACAGGAGTCTCTTGTCTAGAAGGTTCTTCAGTCATCCAGGTCATGGTTGTACCAAAGGTGCTTTGTTCAAGAGTGTTGGAAGAAATATTTGGTTCAGTTCCAAGCGAGGAGAAAGACACTGGAAACATGGAGGCTGACTGGGAAGATAGTTTATTGGTGAACAGGACTATATGGGTTTAAGGTCCTGGGTAGCTGACCAATTGGTTTGATGAATACATGGATTTTTATACAGTTTGTTCTACAGCATTTTGCAATTTAGAGGCTTGTTTTGTGTATGTTATTTGATTTTAATTAGTTTGTCTCGCGAAGGCCAACAGTGACTTGGGGTTTTTAATCTTCTTTAACAAATGTAATTAATCCTAGATGCTGGCTTCCTTGGGGTTTTAATTCTGTTTTGAATGGATTACCAAATCTGTTTTTTAAAAAGGTGACTTCCTCAGTTTCTTTGGGGCTATTAAGAAAGACTGAGTCCATTTTCTGCCTTTTAAGAGCATATTTCCCTATTTCTCATTTAGGGAAATATAATTTTCTGCCTTTTTAATATTTCTCAAAATACTTCATTCTTCTGGGGAGGGGGTGGTAACTTTCTACAAGAGAACTGGACTTTCTTGGTTTCCAAAAAAACCACCTTTGGGACAGGAGTCTCTTTCAATCCTTTGGAGTGGCCAAGACACATGATTCCTCACTGATAGTAAGATTTTTTTTAAAAAAGGGAGGAGGTAGGGGTGTGGATCTTTCAATTCGTTTTAGTTTTCCTTCATGACAATAAGGCTTAGTAACATGGCACCAGGCTTGAAGTTTATATAGATATCTGTGGCATGTACTAATTTTATTATGATCCTGACAAGCTTGGGAGACTTGAACCTGCATCCCCTATATACTTTGTTAATTTGTCTCTTTAGCTCAGCATTTTGTAGCCCAAATATGCCCACCCACTTTCTGGAGAGCTTAAATGACCCCTCTGCTGAAAGGTTTATGAGCAAGAGTTGGCTGCTGATAGTTATCGTTGCATTTTAGCTATTTTAATTCCTCAAGGTGCTCTGGCACCCTGCCTGATTTGTAAATCCAGGTTGCAGGTATTGCTAATGAAAAGGTTGGTTTCCATGATAGCTGTAACTATCATTGATCTTCAGTGTGTATTCCCCCATTTCTAATCTAATGATTGGTATTTAGGGCAGCTTTTTGCAAGCAAAGAAGCTTTTTGTATTTTTGTACAGGTAATCCTTGCTTTACAACAGTTCATTTAGTGACTATTCAAAGTTACAATGGTACTGAAAAAAGTGGATTATGACCATTTTTCATACTTACAACCGTTGCAGCATCCCCACAGTGATGAGAGGCCAGGTGAGGCGATGCACCCCTTGATGTGAGTGACGTTGAGTTGGCCACACCCATCCAATCACATGACTACCCAGCCACACCTACCCAACTGGTCATTAAGGCAGAGAACCGGTTGTTAAATTATTTCAATCCCACCATTGGTATGGATTTATTCTTCATTGGTATGGAGACTAGAACAAGAACCAGTGAATGGAATCTTTGTAGAGAGAAATTGAAACTTGAAATAAGAAGGGATTTCCTGACTGTTACAGGTACATATGAAATAGTGGAACAGCCTGCTTCCTGAAGTTGTGGTTGCTCATCACTGAAGGCTTCAAATAAAGATTGGATAAGCCTTTGCTGTAATGGTCTAATTATTCTTGTCTTTCACAAGGGGTTGAACTGTAAGACTTCTAAAGTCTCTTTCAATCCTATGATTCCATTCACTGTAGATTTCTAAGTGCATCTATAGCATATATAGTGACTAAGGGTCATGAACAAGCAGGGATTTTTTCTGGACAGAGCGCTTAGCTGTGGTCTTCCCTACCTTGATGATATCCAAACTAAGATAATAAAATGTCATTCAGTTTTAATTCTATTTCTTTTACTTACTTGTGAGAAATATAAGAATTATTCCTGTAAAAGCATAACCTGAGTTACGCCATTTTAAAATCATGTTAAGGCTTTATTTTACCTTGTATAACCTGATTATATAATTTAGCTGACATTTAAGAACATGAGAAAGGAACTGTGTAATTCCTGTGTTTTTGAGAATATGTTTATCTTGCAGGAAATATGCTCTTGGGTCAATTTGCCCTCATTAATTAAAGGAAGTACGCAATTGATGTTTTTGAGGGGTATTTCTGTTGGGAATTGGGGAATTTCCAGGGTGGATCATGTACTACATATGTTATATAAGATGTTATGAAAGATCTGAAACTGATTCCCAAGGGGCTTTATTGACGTGTATTCTGATGTTCCTGAAGACTATAAAAACTCATGTAATCTGTTGTTTTTTCGTCTTTCCTCTACTCCAGAGAGAAAGGCCCTTTGCAAAGAATAAACTCTGTCCCAGGATTATTTTAGTCTCTATTTCCTCCTTAAAATGGTAATGGGGTTTTCCTGTCGATCACATTACTTTTTACACGTTTATATTTCTATAACCTATTTTATACTTATTTTATTTGCTCAGCGTTAATCATTATATGTCTATAATTTGACATGAATAAAGAAAATTATAAAATATACGTGATGCAGACTCGAGCTCTATAGGTTCTGTAAAATGCAAAGGCACTGGAAATGCATTACTATATTCAAAACACTATCATTAGTACTCTGTCTAAACATTTCAAATATTGATTTCAGTGTTCTAATTTATATGTGGCTTGAGTTTGTCTTCCTTATGAAACTATTTATACATCCGGATATTCTTCGGCATTCCTTTTTCAATTATGCAAAGTCAGATTTTATTAGATTATATTTTATTAGATAAGTTTTGAATATGTTAAGATTTTAAAAAACATTTAAATTTAAATCTAAATTAGAAATGTATTTTTTTCTTGGTGGTATGCTCTTGTTTTAAATTATACTGACTTTTGATCATGATATACTGACTCTTTTAAGAGCAGCTGTTCTGATAAACATCATGATCAAAAGGCACCATCAAACAAAAGGCACTGTGCAGATAAAATGTCCATCCACCTTAATGAAAACCTCATCTGAAATCACTATTTGACAAAAAAATAATATACAGACAAATTAAAAAGTGATATCTCATACATTTTATTCCAACACATTTTTCATAATGATTAATTGGGCATATGATTTGGGTGATTTTCCATAATCAAGAACTGGTAACAGCTAATACAATTTGGATGCGTTGATATTCATTCTAGTGAAGAAGAGAAGAAGGAGTTGTGTCCTGCCTTTTTTATTTTTGTCTGAAAGGAATAACTTTACACACATTGGGCCAGAGCTAGATCCGTTTCAGGTTATTCTAAACATTTTCTTCAGACTGGCTATTAAGAGAGCTTTAAATTATAGGAATTTGGCTCTTTTATTAATCTTATCATCTTGATCTCAAACAGGTAAAGACCACACAACTTTCTTTGTGGCAGGATGAGGAAATTGGAGATAAGATCTCTTACTCCAAGCTGGGTAGATTTAATCCACTGTAAAACATTTCCACCTCTAGCAGGAATTTTCATTGTACCCTGAAATGATATTCTGACAATATATACATTTTTTTTAAAAAAAAGTGTGAACCTTTTCTCACCAGACTTTCCAGTGAATGGTCATTCAGATTTTTTAAATCCTTAATGAAAAATGTCATAGTTTTGTTTAATATCTCTGATCCTTCTGGGAACAATTTAAGAGGCCATAGGACCACTATATTTGTTCCTGATTAACTCACTATGGAGTTATGTTAATGATATTATTTATTCTTCTGAAAGTTCAACGTTTCCCAATACATTTGTACTGGGAAAGTGTGAGTAAATTATTAGGCAATTGAATGAATGAATGAATGAATGAATTATTTTTTTTAAAAAAAATCTTAACTTCTTTGTAATGTCCTATTCTTTTGAGAGCCATTGAAATTGAAGGTTAGGCAAAGGATTATCCTTGCACTCTTATTGTTAAGTAAGTTTCTCCGATGTTTTCTTCAATATTGAAAAGATAAATGTATGGCACCAATTAATCAGTAGATTGAAAACCTGTGATAAATGAATATGATGCTTACAGATGTACATTAAATATACAATAGAACAGAGCTGGAAGGGACCTTGGAAGTCTTCTAGTCCAGCCCCCTGCTCAAGCAGAAGGAGCTATATTATTTCAGATAAATGGCTGTCTAGTTTCTTCTTAAAAACCTCTGGTGATGGAGCATCCACAATTTCTGAAGGCAAGCCGTTCCACTGGTTAATTGTCCTCACTGTTAGGAAGTTTCTCCTTAATTCCAGGTTGCTTCTCTCTTTGGTTAGTTTCCAACCAATTTTTCTTGCCCTGCCCTCTGGCACTTTGTAGAATAATTTGACCCCCTCTTCTTTGTGGCAGCCCCTCAAATACTTTAATATTGCTATCATGTCGCCCCTAATTCTTCTTTTCTTTAGACTAACCAAACCCAAATCCTGTAGGGGTTCTTCATATGTATTAGTATGATCATATTATGGATAATTCCAACAAAATTCTGTAACTGTTGAATAAATTTTACATGCATATATGAGAAGCCCTTAAACATATTTGCTGTTCTTTTATTTTAAATTACTTTTTTCTTTTCTCTTTTTTCTTCTACTAGTGCTTTTTTGGATTCGCTTTATTAAATAATGGCAAAAAACTATTCTTTAAGAAATCTTTTTTACAGTTCATATGTTTTTCTTTCTGAATGCATAGCAGATTAGTACACTATCTATTATCATTTTTCCAAGCACATATTATCCGATGAACACATTACCTTGATTCTGCAGTTCATCCAGATCCATAAATCTGCTTGGGTGGGGATTAAAGCCCAAGGCTGCCTCTAGTTCCTTTTCCTGCTTCCTCTGGAAATCTTGCTCCTGGACCCTTCTTGCTACTTCTTCTTGTAATTCATCTAGTTCACTCTTGGAAGAAACAAGTATCTCCCCACCTTTAGAGGGTGGAAAAACCCAAAATGTTTCATCTTATATTTAATTACTACATTATTTACTTTTTTAGTTTTCTGTGCTTCTTATAAGGCTAGTTTTGTTAAATGAATGAAATAATAATAGAAATAATAGAAATGTTGAGTCAAACAATAGCTTCCAATGAAAGGTTTATTGAGGAAGTAAAAATAGTCTATATAATGTCTACTGGGCTGGGCTTGCAATGGTTCTAGAACCATTCAGAACCATGGTTATGTAAGATTCAGCCATACAGTATTTTTTGTTTGTGTGCAGTACTTCATATCATCTGCTGCTGTTTATGTTGCTTCTTTCTCTTCTAAAAAGCTCCAAATGCTATTGGCATTTCTCACAAGGGAACTGATCTAGTTCCCTACTCATTTTGCCTCAGTTTTCTTTGCCTTTCCCAGCTACAAATAGTTGTTTTATGACTATTAATTTAACCACCTTTACAACAGCACTGAAAAAAGTGACAAAGACCAATCCTCACACTTACAATTGTCACACCATCCCTATGGGCATGTGATCAAAATTTGGGCACTTGCATAGATTTACTATGTTTGCAGCATCTTGGGGAAACTATTTGCAATCTTCCCAAGGGCTTATGACAAAGTCAGTTGGGGAAGCTGGATTCACTTAATGTCCATATACTTAATGATCATGGTGATTTGTTTAACGACTATGGCAAAAATTACATAAAATCAGGTGTAAGTCACTTAGCAATTGCATCAGTTAGCAGTGAAAGTTATGGTCCCAATAGTGGTTGTAAATAAATGTATTTATTTACAATAAATAAATTTATTGTAAATAAATACAATACCTGTATTGTTATATTTTGTTGGTTTGCAATTATCTGAACTATACAGGGTTTAAAGTGCACTACATGGGTTTTCATAAAGTACGGTCTTATGAGTAGTTTTACTAATGATCATGGTAGTTTCCTACTGATTACTAACATAGGCTTTAACTTTTTTTTTACTGGCACACACTGAGTTTATATATCCACAATACATTCAGGGTCCCTTTCCTGATCAGATGCTATCTCCTTCCTTTTGTGAACACAGGACAATGACCTAGACCTAAATGACCTAAAAAAAAGAGGAAATCATAATATGATCCAGGATTGCAAGTATTTGGAGAATGACATCTTACCATGACCAAAGGAGTATTTATTTTTTGTCCTGCAGGTTATAGATGAGGCAGACTCTACTTCCAAGATGCTACTGCTATGTGATTTTGGAATATTATGCCAGGCAGGAATAACATCTCCAGTTCGTTTGATAAGATAATCCCTTTAAAAAGGAAAAAAAAAAATATTTCCTCATGAAACACTTTCACTTTTCTTTGTAAAGGAGCAGTAATGTATTTTTTTCAAAAGCAAGTTCCATAGGACTTTTGGATGTATAACAGATATATGATTAAAAAATTAATGATTCCTACCTTTCAGTGGCCTGAACTTTGTTAGGAGCTTACAAAAATACTACTCTTATCCACATTGAATGCCAGCTGGAGCTCCTGTCAACTATGGTGTTGAAATTAATTTGGCATAGAGATGGCAGCTGAGAGACAGTGTACGATCATTCTGTCTTTCTATATATTTTAAGTGCATCAATAAGTTTTTGGATTGTCTATTTATATAAAAGTGTCAATTTACATTAAATCACCAATATTTCTCAGAGAAAAATGAAATGGAAAAATAATTTCTTGTAGAGGTAAAATGGTACAGTGTAATAGTTACCTAAAAAGCTTAGGTAGTAAAAAGCTACCTAAATAGTTAAAAACAACTATACAGGTATACATTTGAGAACACCTTTTCTTTATTACAGAAATTAAAAGTGTATCATAAATTTTGAATGTTTTTGAAAATAATTACATAAAGTAGAAATTGGATTCTTAGATTTTGCAATGGTTGGTCGCCAATCTATTTTCATGATAGTACTTTTTAAAGAAAATATGAAAAACATATGGTTTTTTGTTGTGTTTCTTTTATAGTTTTTTAAGATGTTATAAAACTGTTTATACTGGAACTACGAAAATGCTTTCAGAAAATAAAATGTTAATACTTTGTTTAGTCAGTTTGTACAGAGTTTCTCCCCTTCATGGATTACTGCCTTGTCGTGACAAAGGGGCTTGCATAGTTCAATTAAGCTATGAGCTATGCTGTGCAGGGCCACCCAAGACAGACAGGTCATAGCAGAGAGCTCTGATAAAACGTGATTCACTAGAGAAGGAAATGGCACTCCAGTATCTTTGCCATGAAAACCCCATGGACAGTACCAAAAGGCAAAAAGATATGCCGGATTTATGCCCCAACCACTGGTGCTGAAGAGGATGAAATTGACTGGTTCTATGAAGCCCTACAGCACCTTATAGAATTAACACCAAAAAATGACGTCCTTATCATCATGGGGGATTGGAATGCTAAAGTAGAAAACCAAAAAATAAACGGAATAACAGGCAAATTTGGCCTTGGAGTACAAAATGAAGCAGGGCACAGGCTGATAGAATTTTGTTAAGAGAATACGATGATCATAGCAAACAGGCTGTTTCCTGCCTCCGGAGGGCCTGGGGGGGTGGGAAGGCCTGTTTTTCTTTCTCACCTGGCTCCAGGGCCTCTCTAGGAGTCTAGGAAGGGCGAAAACGGTCTTCCCCATGCCCCGGAGGTCCCACCAGAAGTTGTCAAACGGGGCGTTTTCGGCCTCTGGAGGACCTCCAGGGTGGTGGGGAAGGCCATTTTCGCCCTCCCCAGACTCCTAGAGAGGCCCTGGAGGCTGGGGACAGCAAAAAACGGGCCTTCCGGTCCCACTAGAAGTTGTTAAACGGGCCGTTTTCGGCGTCCCCAGATTCCTAGAGACCCTGGAGCCAGGTGACAAAGAAAAATGGGCCTATCGGGCCATCGTGTGCCAGGAGCGGGGAGGTGGGGGATGGGCGCACGCAAGGGCGGGGTGCATAAATTTATGGGTGTGGGCACACATGCGCGCGCACCCCCCGCCCCCCTCCTGGCACGCAATGGCAAAAAGGTTAGCCATCACTGTCCTAGAATGTGAAGTCAAATGGGCCTTAGGAAATCTGAGCAACAACAAAGCTAGTGGAGGTGACAGTATTCCAACTGTGCTGACCCAGTTGCTATGCCTGTTCACTGGCTGACATTGTTACCATGTCTTCCCATTCCAGCCAGTCCCCAATGGCTGACCTGTTGCCGTATCTTTCCCAGTTCATGAATATTCTGACATGTTCAAGCCTATGAAGTTCAGCTGTTCTAGTAGGATTTTTCCTACTTTCCTTCTGTAAGTTGCCTCTTACAGAAAAAGCCATGGTCTGAAAAGAGCTTATAAAGCATTAACGGGTTGTTGGAAGTTATCAGTCAAGAGAAGGGTACAAAAAGAATCTCCAAAGCATTGGCTATACCCTGGAACACAGTGAAGACAGTCATCAACAAGAGGGGAAAATGTGGCACAAAAGTGACATCACCAGGAACTGGATGGTTCTCTAAAATGAATGAAAAAAGAAGAAAAATGGATAATAAAAATAGGGGTGAAATTGAAAATGGAAAGAACGAATATGATAATGTATAGAATGTATAAAATCAATATGATTGTTAAGAAGTATAATGTAATTAAAAGAGAAAGGGACAAGAAGAAAATGAATAGTATAAAGGGAATCGGGGGAGAATGTAAATATTAGAAGATGACCACCATGAAATCACTGTAAAAAGAGAGTATATATACACATTTTGTGTTTTGCGTTTGTCATACTGTATTATAATAAAAATAAAAATAAAAAAGAAGAAAAAAGGTCCAAGAGGCCTACAGCAATATTAAAGAAGCAGTAGAGATTTCTGGAAAATACTGTTTGTATACTACTTGTGACAACAATTTCCTATATTTTTCATATGTCTGAGCTGTGGAGTAGGGTGACAAGATGGAAGTCTTTTCTTGGGAACTCTAACTACATTTTGCAAAAACGTACACTGAGTCTGACAAAAGCATGTGGGAAAATGTATTATGAATTGATGAGACCAAGGTTGAACTTTTTGTCCATAATTCAAAAAAGTATGTTTGGCACAATAGCAACACTGTGCATCACCATAGGTACACCATGCCCACCATGAAGCATGGCAGTATTATGGAGATGGTTTTCTTCAGCTGGAACTGGGGCTTCAGCCAAGATGGAGGGAATTATGAACAGTTCCAAATATCAGTCAATTTTGGCACAAAACCTTCAGGCCTCTGCTAAAATGCTGAAGATGAATTTCATCTTTCAACATGACAACAACCCAAAGCAAACCTTCACATCAACAAAAGAATGGTTTCAATAGAAAAAAATCAAAGTTTTAGAATGACCCAGCCAGAGCCCAGACCTAAATCCAATTGAAAACCTGTGGGGTGACCTGGAATGGGATAACTTGGTACAACCAACGCACCACGGCCAACTTGCTGTAAGACAAGACAACAATTCAAGTATTTAAAATAATGAAAATAATATATTAATTTCTGTCATTTACATTTCATTTTGTCCTTCCTTTTGCATCCTTTCTTTAAATGATTCTATTCCACCATTTCTTTGATATTAGTGTAATTCTTGTACTGCAGCGAGTTGTCCTGTTCTATTGAATTGTACAACTTATATGTTATGTTAAAGATGGGAAAAAGTCTGAAGTAATTTATCTTGGTCTGATTTTTTTAAAATATCAAAACACCGGCATTTTGCTAGGTATTTTAGATTTTTTATATCCACTATAAAGGCTGCACATCCAAGACTTCCGCGGCAATATCAGACACAGGGAACGGGTCTCCGCATTCGCTGGGCTGACTTCTCCCTGTTTGTGGGCTCTGAGAAGAGCCAAAGCCATCCTGTAGGTGTGGTGAAGCAAAGAGGGGCGCCCTGTGAGGTCGCAGAGAGTCACAGTTCTCCTATCTGACCCGGGGTTTTTTTTCCCCTCTCAGCCATGGCAAGAAGAAGAGGCAGCCTAAAGATGGCTGCCACAAAGCTAGGACAACCGAAGAACAATTAAGACTGGTGCTGGAGTGAAGTAGGTGAACAGTGCTGGAACTGGGGGGGGGGGGGGAGGATTCCTTTTTGCCTTAAATTTAATCCCAAGGAATAATTAGAACTATTTGCTCAGAATTATTTGTTAAAGCGGTGTCTAAGCATTCTGAGAAAATACCAGACCGGAAGGGAAAAGCGCAAGATAGAAAAATAATAAACTTTGAAATATACAGAAAATTAGACTCTTAAACTGGGAAGACATGGTACTGGGAAGGCATTTTAAAATGCTGGAATCATTTACTTACAAAACTTATTCTGCTTTTATAATTGATTTGCAGCGAAAATTGATTGGTGACAATACTGAAATTTAAGTTGAGAGTGCCACTTGCTGGCGAAAGGAAAAATTACAAGTCTAGGAGTCTATATGAAGGACTGTGAAAATATTTATTGGATTATTCTTAACTACCCCATGACTACTGGAGACTTAAATATGAAAATAAGGAAGCTATTTAATTAAATGGGCCTCTGCTAGAAGATTGAACCTGTAAAGGGGACGCAAAAAGGCTTTTGATAACCTCTGGGACTATCTAAATGGAGCTGATTGTTTACCTATGGGATATAAAGAACTGGGATTAGTGCACTGTTTGAAGGGCAATTTAAGGACTGAATAAATAGTTCTTGGACTGCTGGACAAAAGTTGAATTTTTAAAAACAAAATAAGATGCTTTATAAGGACGAAATGAGTGGAACTTTGAAGGAAATGGCATTACTTTTTCAAAACACAAAAGACATCACGGAGAAAGGATTTAAGGAAATTAGGGAAAAAATGGAAAATACTATACAAGGAATGATGAGTAAAGACCAAGATACCCAGGAAAGGGAGGAGTCAACAGAAGAAATGGAGAAAGAAGAAGACAAAGAGGAGACAACAATAAAAATAACAGTGACTGATGAATTAAATCAGGGGGAAAATATATTAAAAGAGTTGGAAGATACTTTTGAAAGGGAGATAGGGGCCTGGGCAGAAATTTTTGAAACTAGGCAGTGGAAGAGGGTAGAGGTGGGAAAAATACCTAGATGGAACAGCCAAAAAGCAGATGCAGACAGAGATAAAGATCCAAAAGAGGAATATGGGAGGCAAGCCAAAAAAAGCATAACAATTAAAGTACTGAAGTGGGCAAGAGACGATGGATAGATTATTTCTCTTTTGTGGTGTTCTGATTTGCCTTTCCTTTTCTCTCTTTCTTTTCTTTTTTTAGGTAGGTGACATGACTAGAAGTTAGGTAGGATAGAAATAAAACGTCTTTTAATAAAGGGTGACATGATTAAAAGTTAGAATAAGAGATAGAAATAAAAGAAGGGGGAATATTAGTGTATACACTTTTATATAATAAAATAAAAGCAATAACAAGAGAAAACATGGAATAACTTGAATAATGACAGACTGCGACTTAATGTAAATGTGTATCATTATTAGAAATATATAAGTTGATTGAATGTAATAACTATGATTAATTCTACTAGTTTTATTTGTATTAGAATGTACGACATCCAGGTGTCACACTGTTCACGCATTGATTTGTTTGTAAAAAAATTAAAAACTTGTAAAAAAAAAAAAGTCTGCCCATCCAAGCTTGGCTGCATGGTGAAGGAAGGGTTTGTTACATCCTCCACCCCTCCAATGCCTCACTTAGAAGCTGCGGCACCGGTGCGTTGCTCAGCCTCCTGCTCTCTTCTGGCGGTGAGCAAGGAGCATTGTTCTCCACCCCACCGCCTCATTTTGTCCTCCACCATCTCATTTTGTCCATCCCCCCACTGCCTCATTTCATCCTCCAGCCCCCCCTCCCCACTGCTTCATTTCATCCTTCCCCTCCACTGCCTTGTTTCATCCTTCCCTTCCACCGCCTCACTTTGTGGCTGTGGCACCCACCCACCAGGCTCGTGTTGGCAGCAACCAACATGGAAAGAATGGGTGGCAGACCCTCTCCTCAGGCTCTTAAGTAGGGCTTACTTTAGGGGTAGGGTTTATATTTGGCACAGGCATGAAAATTGGGCTGGGGCTTATTTCTGGGGTAGATCCTATTTTCAGGGAAACACGGTAGTTTGTAATAATTTCCCATTTCACAATAAAATAATGTATTAAGATACTTGAGAACAATGTTAGAACAATTAAAATATATTTTAATGAAACATACCTAGAGGTATTTGAGCTCTCTGACAAAGGCATATCCAGACTGACTGGACTGTTGCTATTGCGATCACTGCTTTCATACCCAGATTCCATCCTTTGAATCAGACGAGGATGCTGATCCATCCTGTGATGTGCACCACGCCCTAAAGTCCAGTGCTTATACCTGTTGGACCGCCTTGATCTTGTTTCACATGCTGGCTCCTTCAGCTCATCTTCTATAAATTCTTTGGCTGACAAACAAAGATATTATATGAAAGAAAAGGTAAATGTAATTCTTTCACTTAGTATTCCAATACAGTTCAGTTTCTGGAAGCACAAATTTCAGCCCCAGAAGCTCACTGTAAATTTAGGGGAACTGCGGTTCCCCTAAAACAAGACCTACCCTGAAAATAAGCCCTCGCTTGATTTTTTAGCATGCTCCTAATATAAGCCCCACCCAAAAAATAAGCTCTAGTTAAGGTCATGAGCCTGGGGGGCATGGCCAGCACCAAAGGCGAGGAGGGCACAGGGGCTGATAGCAACCGCAGCCTCTGCAGTGCAGATAGTTAATTATCTGTCCAAGCAGCAGGCAGAAGCGGGGGGAGGCATGTGATCTGGAGACACTGCGCAAGCTGCGAAACAACTGAGAGTCAGTGGGCAGCCGTCTTCTCACAGTGGCACCAGCAGCAGACAGAGGCAGAAGTGCGCAAACGAGATGTGCCGCACGGGCCGCAGGCAAGCCAAGAGATGCAAAGACGAACTCCCACGGCTGCCAGCCCACTTTGTCCCACTGTCTTTTGGCTTGCCTGTGGCCCATATGGTATGCCGGGATCACCTGCCTTCCCCCTGCACCTCTGCCTCGATCTGCTGCTGATGCCGCCATGTGAATATGTGTCTCCTGCGGCTGACTGCTCACTCCAGCCCACTGATGCTTGGCTTTCTCATAGCCCGTGTGGCGCATCTGGATTTTGTTCGTCCCCGTGCCTCTGCCTCCACTGTTTGGACAGGTAATCAACTCACCTGCACTGCAGAGTCTGTGCAGCCCCAGAGTGTGCCAAGGGGCCAGTGGGCTGCAGCCGCAGCTGGACAATGTCCCCAGGTCTTATTTTTGGGGAAACCCAGAAGTCAAACAATTTACCTCACTAGGTTGATGTTGTGCGTTAAATTAGGGGAGGGAGTTCTACATACATTTCTTGAGTTTGTGACAGAAAGGAAGGCTATAAAATAATTGAATAAACAAATGTTTGCCCAAAAAACCTGGTACTATTCTGCCCATCTTAAATTGCATCTTAAATCCATAATTAGATTGACAATAATGTTAGGCTATAATGTAGCTTAATTATTTTTTATTTTGTGTGATAATGTGAGTACAACTACTTAGTTTTGCATAATAAAAATGCTGAATCAAAAGACCAATTTAAATCTTTTCTGATGCTATACACTGTGTGCACAATTATTAGGCAAGTGAGTACTTCAACCTATGCATATCATTTTTATGCATATTTCCACCTCCAAGCTGTATAAACTTGAATGGAGGCTGTGCGGATCTGGATGGGGAGAAACAGGCTCAAGCTCGACCCTTCCAAGACTGAGTGGCTGTGGTTCCCGGCATCCCAATATAGTCAGTTGACTCCATCACTGACTATTGGGGGCGAGTCTTTGGCCCCTTCGGAGAGGGCTCGCAATCTGGGAGTCCTCCTGGATACGCAGCTGTCCTTGGAGGAACATCTGACGGCTGTTGCCAGGGGGACTTTTTGTCAGGTTCGCCTGATCCGCCAGTTGCGGCCGTTTCTTAATTGGGATTCCCTGTGCACAGTCACTCATGCCTTCGTCACCTCTTGCCTGGACTACTGCAACACTCTCTACATGGGGCTCCCCTTGAAGGGCACCTGGAGGCTCCAACTGGTCCAGAATGCGGCCGCGCGGGTAGTCACGGGAGCTACCTGGCGCTCCCATATAACACCTCTCCTGCGCGAGCTGCACTGGCTCCCAGTGGTCTTCCAGGTGTGCTTCAAGGTGTTGGTTATCACCTTTAAAGCGCTCCATGGCATAGGACCTAGTTATCTTCGAGACCGCCTGCTGCTACCAATGGCCTCCCATCGACCTGTGCGCTCCCATAGAGAGGGCCTCCTCGGGGTGCCATCAACCAAACAATGTAGGCTGGTGACCCCCAGGGGGAGGGCCTTCTCTGTGGGGGCACCTACCCTCTGGAATCAGCTGCCCCCAGAGATAAGGAGAATCCAAGACCTCGGTGCCTTCCACGGTGCCCTTAAAACTTTCTTTTTCCAGCAAGCCGGGCTGGCCTAACACTTTTTAAATGTTTTAATTGGTTTGTTACTGTTTTTAATTATGGGGCCAAATTTATATATATCTTTTAATGGTATTTTAATATTTGTAGTCTATGTTTATATGTGGCTGTACACCGCCTTGAGTCCTTAGGGAGAAGGGCGGTATACAAATTCAAAAATAAAATAAAATAAATAAAATAAATGCTTAGTGGATATAAGCATATAGGTGGCTCAGTGGCTAAAATGCTGAGCTTGTCGATCAGAAAGGTCAGCAGTTCGGTGGTTCGAATCCCTAGTATAGGTCTCATGCGTGTTGAGAGAAAAAGATACACATTAACTGCCAAAGATTTGAGAAGAATCGAACGTAAAGCTACCAGAAAACCATTATCCTCCAGTGCTGTCATATTCCAGAACTGCAATCTACCTGGAATGCCCAGAAGTACAAGATGTTCAGTGCTCAGAGACATGGCCAAAGTAAGGAAGACTGAAACCTGACCACCACTGAACAGGACCACGTAAGTTGGATACATGAAACAGCAAGACTGGGTGAAGAAATACCCGAAGACAGATTTGTCAAAGGTTTTATGGACTGATGAGATGAGAGTGACTCTTGACGGACCAAATGGATGGGCCCATGGCTGCATCAGCAACGGACACAGAGCTCCACTTCAACTCAAGATGGAAGTGGGGTACTGCTATGGGCTGGTATTATTAAAGATGAGCTATTAGACCTTTCCGGATTGAAGATGGACTCAAAATCAACACCCAAACCTACTGCCAGTTTTTTAGAAGACACTTTCTTCAAGCAGTGGTACAGGGAAAAGTCTGCATCTTTCAAGGAGACCATGATTTTTATGCAGGACAATGCTCCATCGCAGGCATCGAAGTATCCACTGTGTGGCTAGCCAGTAAAGGCCTTAAAGATGAAAGAATAATGACATGGCCCCCTTCCTGACCTAAACCCTATTGAGAACTTGTGGGCCCTTGTTAAACGGGAGATTTACAATGGAAGAAAACAGTTCACCCCTCTCTGAACAGTGTCTGGGAGGCTGCGGTTGCTGCTGCACAAAAAGTTATCAACAGATCAAGAAACTGACAGACTCCATGAATGGAAGTCTTATGGCTGTTACTGAAAAGAAGGGTGGCTACATTGGTCACAGTTTTTTTTTTTAAAATGTCAGAAATGTTTATTTGTACATTTTGTACATTGGGCTCCCCTTGAAGAGCACTCGGAGGCTCCAACTGGTCCAGAATGCGGCCGCGCGGGTGGTTATGGGCGCAACCCGTTGTGCCCTCCTGCGCGAGCTGCACTGGCTCCCAGTGGTCTTCCGGGTGTGATTCAAGGTGTTGGTTACCACCTTTAAAGCACTCCATGGCATAGGACCCGGGTACCTCCGAGACCGTCTTCTGCCACCAATAGCCTCCCACCGACCAGTTCGCTCCCACAGAGAGGGTCTCCTCAGGGTGCCATCGGCTAAGTTATGTTGGCTGGCGACACCCAGGGGGAGGGCCTTCTCTGTGGGAGCCCCAGCCCTGTGGAACGAACTGCCCCCGGAAATTCGTAAGATCTCCGACCTCCAGGTGTTTTGCTGCGCACTGAAGACTCTGTTTTTCCGCCAGGCCGGACTATCAACACAATAGTTTTAAATTGGGGTATTTAAATTTTTTTGGGTTTTAAATCTGAGCCAATTTATTTAATTATTTTAAATTTTACATTGTTGTTTTGTCTGTGTTTTTAAATAGGCTGTACACCGCCCTGAGTCCTTCGGGAGAAGGGCGGTATAGAAATAAAATTATTATTATTATTATTATTATTATTATTATTATTATTATTATTATTGAGTTGTCTGTTTATTATTCTCACTTTAACAGATGCAAATAAACGAAGGAGATGGGAAAATTTTTGTTTTTCATTTAGTTGCATAATAATTCTGCACACTAATAGTTGCTCAATAATTATGCACACTTAGATATTCTTCTAAGAAAGCCATAACCTCATTTTTTTTCTTTCTTAAATATTCAGGTTTGAAGTTTATTAACATTTTGGATTGACCGAGAGCACTGTAATTGTTCAATAAAATTAATCCTCAAAAATACAACTTGCCTAATAATTGTGCACACAGTGTATATCCATTTTTTCTCCTCCTTCCAAAAATCTGATCAAATTTACTTCTAATGTTTTCTAAACTTTCTCAAATGTCTCTTATCTTTTTATCTAATTGATATACTGTTAGACAGACATTTATCCAAAATGAATTTAGATACCACCTTTTTACAGAGGTCAACTTAAAACTTAACATTTTTAAACATTTTAACATTTTTTGCACAGGTAGTTTTTTTCTTTAAATTAATACATTTTAAAACTTGTTGGATTAGCCAATTTCACTATTTTTGCAGAAGAAACAGCATTCTGTGATTTGTTAGAACCAATTACCCAGCAGTGGTAGACTCTATTTCACTGGCTTTTTACACAGACTTAGGTATCATCTGTTTGGGGATATTTTAATATGGATATATGCATAGAGTAGTGGATTTAATGGCCTACATGGCCCTTCCAGTTTGCTGATTATATACATAAGGAAAAAGTTACAAAAAATATCACATAGAAAACAGATGTAGAACCTTTGGAACCATTTTAAGACACATTCTCATCCATGTTATTTTATTTTACTATTTATTTTATTTCATAAAATAACACCAAAGCACAATTCAATGTTAACCATTAAATATCTTTTGACAGCTCTTTTTTTTTCTTTGCTTAATGATAAGTAGAAAAAAACATTTGTTTGGATAGTATCAATGACTCTCAATAAACAACTGTATATATTCCATTCCATTCTGAATTATACATCTTGCCCATTTTTACCTGCATCTTCTGCGAAGGGGCTGAGTTGGGTGTAGCCACTTTGTTTTCTCTTTTCTTTACTGAAGATGCTGTCTATATTTAGCGGCTCTCGTTTGGGTCTCCAAGGTGGGCGGTATTTGCTAGAAGAACTTGACTTTGATTCACTACTGTTGCTCTCTATTTCCCAGTCTTGAGACTGAATGGTCAAAGTTCTGGGTAGTGACTGGATTTCAGTCTGATTCTTCCCATGAGGGGAGCCCTGATGTGTCTGTGAAGGCCTGTTGTGGATCATGTTGCTAACTGTCTCTTTAAATTCCCTTAGTTTGCTGGTACCATTCAACATTTTAGAGGCAGTTCTGGGGACCTGTTTCTCCTTCAGTGTCTCTCCTTTGTTTTAAAAGCAGAAGAATACTATGTAAACAATATAAATATCCTCAGTAGACTGTTTTCATCAAATTTCTGAACTGATACAGTCCAAAAAGTAATCCAGTCCCAACTTCGACAAATACAAATAATAGAATCCAATCATTTTTACCTTCACTGTGATATCCAGAAGGCTGTGCTTCATCCCCCTTCTTTCTAGACCTGTTGTTATTTCTCTTACGGTCTGCCTGAGAACTCTTTTTGGAAGTATGTCTCTGATTGCATTCGCTATCAGTCAGGTGACCTGAAAGAAAAAATGTAAAACACATTACAAATTATAGTTCAATGTTTTTTTTAAAAAAAGTTTTGTTTATTCTCACAGACTTTAGATACAAAAACTATCCATCAATGTTAGTTTTTTAAAAACAATTCTAGTTTTATTTTATATGTAGAATAAATGTTTTTAATCAAACTAATGTTGATTTCTATAAATTCTATAGAGAACCTACAGGATTCGAAAGCAGGATATTGCATCTTTGTTCAGAATGATACACTACTGATCCTTTAAAACTGTCTTTCTCAACTTTTTTAATCTGGAAGGCAACATATATTAAATTAGAATGTAAAATTATATTAAAACATGATAATTCTAAAATTAAAATAATATCTAAAATTTAAATGAATTACAATTACATAGAATGCACTGCAGATAATTGGCCCATCAGGGTTCAATGTTGTTGCATGAAACCTAGCTACATGCGCTGTAACAAAAGATAGTTCATTTATGACCAGCATTTGGGCATGGGCTGAATCTGGGCAATCAGAATATCTACTGATCAGTGGTAGGGTGAATCTGGTTCGGATGCCTCTGTAAAAGGAGCAACAAAGAAGAAGATGTTGTGTAATTTCCACCTCTCCGGATCATAGCAGTAAAGCCGTTCAGCCACTTTTTTATCTTTAACATCCATTATGCAGAGGGGAGAGCATGATATCAGGTAAGAGAGAAAGTTTTCCGATCGTTAGGTGTTTCTACCTGCATATCATAGCTGGCAGCAGTGACAAATATATCTGTTGTGTACTGGTGAGAGAATAAAGTCAGCTCCAGGACCCTTCCCACTCCTGAGTTAGCCAATAATGGTTAATTTCAGACGCTGATACTGAGAGCCATTCAGGTAAGTCCTCATCCTTACAATGAGGGATTTCCACACATCCTCTGAAAATGTAATTCCCAGGCTTTAGGAGATATATGAGAATCTAATGGGGTAGAAGGTGCCAGAAAAGAGCGGACTTCTATTTCTTCACTGCTTCAGTAAGTTGTTCCCAGATGGCCCTTACATTTTTCTTCTTAAAAGCCACTACTTGTTTATATTTTTTTAAGGTTTAGAAGATATTATTGTCACCTATCTCAGATTTCTAAAAATGATAAACTGAGATATAGACATTCTTAGCTTCAACACAATTCTTATCAAATTATGGCTTTGATGAAACTGAAGGCCACTTAGCCAAGAAATTGGGATTGCAAGCCAATAAAGGCTGTAGCTCTTGCACTAGAATTTTGTATAGATCCAAAGGATCTTCATTGAGGTTGGCTGACATGAGGGCCAACTGATACTTCTGCCAATACCCTCTTCATCTTTTGGTTAAACTGCAGGATCCATTTGACGTGACATCTTGCTTGACCTGCTAGAGAAGTTGAAGGAATGAAGTGAGCCTTCAGGTATGTTAAATATAATAGGGTACCAGGTTCATAGTAATTAGCATGTAACCAATAGTATTTATTCTGATTCTTGCCAGAAATGTGAATTCGCCTAATCTCCTACAAAAGAATCATGTAGTATAAGAAGAAATTTACTTCTAAACTACACAACCCATGTTTTACAATGTTTACAACCACAGCAAAACAGCAGGCAAAGAATTCTTGCCACTGCATGCCTTTTTTTCCCAGTCATCATCTCTCATAGAACCTGGTGACCCTAGAATCTTGCAGAACCTGAATTGGGAGAGGGTGCTCTAAACAATGTAGTGTCCACAGGTCTTTCAGAATGGACCTACTTTCATTTATTATTTTTATTGTTCTTCTTCGACCCATCATCTATTCCTGATACAGGTAGGTACATTTCATATTAGCACAATTTTTCTATTTGTACTTCAAATTTTTAGTAATTGACATATTGGGGAAGAGAAGTAAATAAACTTAACTAGCAACAAGGCATTGGTTTGTAATTTCAGCTAATATTTCAGCCTAAATATTTGCCAATGATGTGTAGCATCTCTCACAAAAATATAGAGTTCCTGAAAAATTTGGGTTTCTTTGACTAAATTATATGTTTTATTTTTTCATATCTGCAAGTCAGTGGATGCTATTTACAACTTTCACAGGGAGTATGGTACCTGTATATACTGAGTTGCAATAATTAAAATAGAAAAACAATTATTAGATGAGGGATGCTTTTTTAACATTAGATACAGGTTTACAACACTTACAAATACTTTAATAAATACAAGTCACCTTGATAAATGAAAATAAAATTAAAAATATATATATATAGCCCCCCGACAGCAACAAGACTCCCTGTTTTAAGAGAATGAGAAATATAATTGTTTGGGATGGGGGGAGATTATGAGAATTCTACAATGAGCAAGAATAGGAATCCTCATGAATAAATAATGTAAATAGAAAAAAGCCAGAGTTAGTTTCTATGTCCCTTTAATCTTTTGTGCTTTGTTTGCCTCTTTCTGTCACACTAAATTAAGTAGGATGATTGAAAAGAAAAATAAAACATTTTTTTTTGGTGATACATGAGCACTGTAAGAGAAGGGAATTCTTACTGAAAGAACAATGAAAACAGTATTTTCTCTTTTTTCAACTGATTGAAATCAACATGTGAAGTTTCAGATATTTCTGAACTTTAATTTCCATTAACTTTAGTCATTGCAGACAACAATAATGATCACTGAAGCAGCAATCTAATATTTGCCAATGAATGTTAAAGAATATATTCTGAGTGCTTGTTTTCTGACAACATCTGCGCACCTTCCACCGTGCTCTTAAGACCCTTTTATTCCAGCAAGCCGGCCTGGCCTAATTTTTCTCCCCTTTCTTTTAAATTGTAAATTGAAATTTTAATTTGTTTTAAATTTATTGGGATTTTAATTGTCGTGGGCCAATATTATTTAATTTGGTTTTAAATTGTTTTTACCTTTTGTATTTCTGTATTTTATCTTGTGCCTGTTCACCGCCCTGAGTCCTTCGGGAGTAGGGCGGTATACAAATTTAATAAAATAAAATAAATAAAATAAAATAAATAAATAAACATCTGAGTGAGTTTATTACTCATGAATTCTATGATTTTCATCCCTAAATTTAAAAGAAAACGTTTACCTGTGTCCCTGCTGCTTTGCGAAACCATATCATTTTCCACATTATAAATGATAGTTCCTTGAGAATCAGAAGAAAAATGACTGACCATAGATTCATGGTGGGAATGTTTATGTAGATAGCTGTCTGTAGAAGAATCTGTTCTAGTGTCACTTGAGATAGAAGGTTCACGTCCTATTAAAAATAGTGAACATTAGAATTGAGAAAATGAGAAAAATGTTAATATAATTAGGGTAAATACATTTACCCTAATTTCTAATTACATTTCTAAGACAATAAAGGTGCTCAATGAGCACTAAAAGGCTGCATTTGTGTGTGTACATCTTGCAATCCATCTCCATCATCCATCAAACCTTTTAGAGACCGAGTGCCCAAACTGCAACCCAAAACTCATTTATTTATCATGAAGTGCCAACATGGCAATTTAACCTGAATAATGAGGTTTTAGTTTAGAAAAACTAATTCATACATGATTAATGTCTTTTCTCTGGAAAAAAAACATAACAGAAGTCTCAATGAATCAAATAACTTTTTATTCAAAAGTAAAAATTTGCATTTGGCATGCTTTTGATTAATGTGACTTTTGCTGTTGTATCACTTATCTTGCAAACATCTGTCTCCTCTCTTGTTTCTCTGTTTCTTTGCCTTTGAGGAAGGGAGAGGAGAGTTGGCTGGGAAATGCTTTTCGTGCCAAAAATGGATGCTCCAGGGTGCTATAATATCACGCAGATTCAGGCACCCATTCTCTTTTGCAGAGTCAGGGTCCCAGAAACTTTTATTCTTGGCGCGAAAAGTGTTTGCCGGTCTCCTGCTCCTCCCCTCCCCCCCAACTACTTTCCACTTAACTACTTAATGAGACCTTGCATGCAAATGGGGCGAGACAGAAAGACAGAGCAAGAGAGCAATCCAATTGTGTATGTGTGTGCGTGTGTATGGGATCCGTACTTCAGCCAGGCATGTTGGCAATGGCGTGGGTGACACCTGAGCAGTGAGGCGGTGTGTGTGTGAGTATGAAGCAAGCTGAGGGGGTGCGGAACTGCCCCCCAACGCCCCACACTCGCTTACCTGAGCACCTTGCCAGCCAGGCACTGAAGCGCCGCAACTGCCACCGCAGCGAGACAGACTCTGTGTGTGTGTGTATGAGAGAGAGAGAGTGCGCGCTCCCTGCTTTAGTTGGGGTACTCAAGCTGCTGCCCACAGCGGGGGGGGGGGGGGGGGGGGGAAGAGCCAACTAGGCAGCTATTTTACTCCTCCTCCTCTCCACTCAAGCAGTTGCAGGCCCTGTGGGACAGCAGGGCCTCTCATTTCTCCCCTGGCCCGGCAAATTCCACCTTCAGTCAGGGCATTCAAGCTGCTGGAGACAGCAGCTACCTAATGATTGCCCCCTCCCCAACCAGCCAGCCAGCCCCGCCTGACCTGCTCCCTGCTGGCTGGTGCAAAGCCTCACCATTCTTCTCCTTGCCTTCCTCATTGTCCTCCTCACCCAAGTGGCAACGGGCTCTGCGGGACAGGTCTCATTCCTGCCCCGGCGCAGCAAACTCCAGCGGGCTAGATGTGAGTGTGAAGGGCCTTGCCCCACAGTGTTTCCTTGCTCAGTTGAAGGCTTCAGACAGTAAGGCTGGCCCATGCAAGAGAGCAGCACACCAGGGCCACGGACGGTGTTGATTCCTGCATCTGGCTGATTCCAATCCCACAGCCAGCCTTACTGTTTGAAGGCTGAATGAAGCCTTCAACTGAGTGGGGAAGCACTGCAGGGCCAGGCCCTTCACACTTCAATGCCACCGGCAGCACTGCTCAGCTGGAGGAGTAAAGAAACTCAGGGCAGCGGGAAAAGGGGACTGGCCTCACCGAACCTCACATGCCCACCCCAGGGATCAGGCTCAGAGAAAGCTGAAGCGCCCTTGCCAAAGACGTTTGCTCGTTAGCTGTCAACCTGTCCACCCCGTGCGCTTTCACTGCACTTTGGTTGAGCCGGGATGCTCGCTTAAGGAGAGTATCCCCGCTTGTGCGTGCCCTCCCGGTCCTACAACAGCTGGCCAGGGGGCCGCGTGGGGAGAAGGAGGAGGAAGCTGCCGCAGTTCGTGCTCACTCCTCAGCTGCAGGCCTGTCTCCCTTTCCATCGTACCCTCCTCCTGGATCCCATTCCCACCCTGCCAGCCCTTGTATTAGCGAGGCTGGCATTGGCCATGGCTGGGTTGGGTCAATGTCTCGGGACGCAGCGATGCAACCATTTCTGACAAATGGCTGTCCAGTCTCTTCTTAAAATCTTCCAGTGATAGATATTTAGCAGGTAATTCAATAGCCTTCACCATACATTTAACATTATGAAAAATAAAGCATAAAGGTCTTTCGTTAATCCTCTAATAATTTTCCATTGTATGTACAAAAATACATATGGTATTCAGAATAGTTGAATTTCTGCACAATGTATGATGTATTTTACATAATTTGCTATATTTTAGGTAGGCAAAGAGCTAAATTCTACTGTGCCATTTTGCTGATATCTAATAGTTCACAAGTCTTTACTTATTGCCAATACCATTAATATTGCTATCATATATCTTGATTACTACAAAAAACACATAAGGAACTTCAAAAGGTTACCTGAATCTTCACTATCATAATAGGTTCTGCTATACTGTGGTAAATCCTGTGTGGATAGATTCTGGGTTGATACTGGAGTTCCTCTTGGGTCTGCATAAAGGAGTAGCAAGGGTTGGTAATGACCCTTAATGCACTTAGTAACAACATCTTTCCATTTAGGGCCTATCTGAAAATATTTAAAAAAGTAATGGGGGGGTCATTTTTGATACAATTAAGTACAACAAAGACATTGGTCTTAACAAATAGATGATCAAGAATCCAACTGACAATGGGAAACAATTGTTATGCTGTAAATAACATATTAATTACATACAAACAAAATATTACATTAAAGGTCAGTACCAGTTTAAGATAAAGAATTTCAAAAAGCTCTTTAAGATTATTCCATTAAGAACTTAAAATAACAAAACACACTACAAAACATGGCATAACATCTACAGCAAGCATTTACAGAGAGACTCAATTTCCAGGATCTCTGTCTAAAAACAAGCAGCAGCAATTAATTTGATCCTATTGTAGTTTGTAGAGCAAAAGTACATGATGAAGAGGTGTGTGTTTGTGTGTGTATATTCAACCTCTTAGCACAGCTCAGTTTGTGAGTAAATCTTTACTTTTCATAACTTCCTAATCTAGTTATCTATTGAAAGTTCTGTAGGTTCACTTCAGTTTCTTGCCTCTTCCAATTTATTTTATGTGTTTGTTTGTTTGTTTGTTTACATTTCATGTTTCTGGAGTGCCCATCTTCCTCAAGGTGGGATTTACCTGCTGCCAACATAAAGTTGATAAGAGATTGAAAGGATAGATCAGAATTGAGCTACAGTATATCATTTTCAACAAATAGAAATATATAAATATTTCAGACAAATTGTTTCTGAACAAGGTAAGTACTGGACAATTTATGTGGAAGTGATATATCACTTCTGAAATATCTAACCAAAGATACATTTATTCACTTTATGTGTTTTTGCAGACACTTTATTAACATCAACCTGTAGTCATAATGACATTAACAATGAAAGTAAAAAATCTGGGTTAATGTTAAATGTTATGGCGCTAAAAGCATTGTTCAACCAGCATTGTTCATGAACAATACATATGACAATAAAGAATGGAAGGTAGTACATTTGTTTTCTTATGCTCTTGAACAGATAAAGATGGACAAAACATAGTTGAAATTCCCCCTATGGAAGAAGAAATGCAGAGTTGACAAGATCATGAAGAGAAAGGATGCATCTATTATAACAAAGATCAAAATAGTTAATATAATTTTCTTTCCAGTGGTAACACACGGCTATGAAACCTAGCTCTTGAAAAAAATGAGAGAAGAACAAGAAACACTTTTGAATTATGGATCTGGAGATGATTACTAGGTGTCCTGTAGATTTGAGGGGGAGGGGAAATATTAAATTTTTGTGTTGTAACAATGGAGTGATTGCTCCATTCAGTAAGCAGAAACTCATCTACAATGAGAGTGAAATGAAAACATTATGGGAAGTAGAATGCAAAGATAAAGATAAATTATACAGAATTAAATAAATGAAAGAGCTCTAAGCTAGAACTAAAATTAAGCGCACAAGTACTTCATTATGACTCCCAAATGATCCCAAAATTAACTAACTAATCATTTATATTGTGGTGATGCATAGGGACTGAAAACCAAATGAATAAGAAAATCCTTTTCTCTTAGAAAGAACTAAGGCAGGAATCACATCTCATTTCCTAAATAAAAATCCATCCTGTTGCTTTATCTGTAACATTGTAACATTACAGTCAGCAATCCTTGTTTATCTGGGTGATAGGAGATAAAAGTCCTGGGTCTTGTATTTATTAATTAAGTGGGAAAGGACAAAACAATTGTCAATGGTAGACCTACCTGATCTAAAACCTGCCTGCTCATTTGCCAGAATTTCCTTATCCAAGCACCAATACAATACGAGATAAAAGTCTATTGTGGTTATTTTATTTCAAGTCAACTATAACTTTCATCAAATAAATTTAACAAATAAAATTATACAGTATATATATATATACATACATACATACATACATACATACATATATATATATATATATAAAAATAAATAAAAATGTAAATGTTCGTTTGTTCAAAATCTTAAATCTCCGAAAGTTCTTCACCGATTGCTTTGAAATTTTGACACAACGTTGCATTCGAATACGCGTGTGTTTTTATATACCTATATTATATAGATGTCATACCTGTGACAGGTAAAAACATGCTTTTTTGAAAAACAGCGCCATCTGTTGGACGTAAAAGCAACACACGCTATACGCAGAGCCCACCAGCCTTTTCACTCGGTCAGTGGGATTCAGACCTCAGCCAGGTCTTTTCCCCTCAGCACCGCCACCGCCAAACCCACAAGCAAAATGGTGGGAAATGTCAACCGCTGCGAAGCCCGCCCAGAGGCCTCTGCCACTCCCATGATGCGCAGCTCTCCCACTACAAGCACCAAATAGGTAAAAGTCCAAGAAAGCAATTGATTAAGCGACGTTAAAGTCCAAAATGAAACTTAGAGAAAGGCAACTCAGGTCTGAATCCAATCGACCGAATGAAAAGACTGGTGAGACGGAGGCAAAGTAGGCGTGACCTGAGCTACAGACGGAAATTATTTCACTCGGTCAAAAAATATTGTATACCCACAAGATTGAGCCACGGCAACGCGTGGCCGGGTACAGCTAGTATATAAATAAAATCTTCAAATATCAGTAAATATTGAAAAGAATATTGTGCATGTTTTAAAATGTTTCCAATAAAGGATAATATTTGTGATATTCAACTCCTCAGGGTTGGAATGAATCTTTTGAATTGGAAGTAGGGCATCATAGAAATTTACATCTTTGCATAATGATGGTCTTAGTTTGTGATATTGACATAATTATATAAAAAACTGATGCAGGTTTGCAAAATTTAGCTGATTCCCAGCCAGCATAAAATGAATATTGTTGAGTTATTATTATTATTTCCCCAGATCAGGAAAATTTAAAAAGGCTAGCAATTTATAAGAAAAAATAAAGAGGCCCATAGAAAATACCTGTAAACATTCAAATATGAGAAAAAGTTAAAAGTTAAAAAAGAAAAAGCCATATATGTGTGTGTGTGTGTGTGTGTGTGTGTCACAGTACTCCCAGGGTTATGATAAAAGAACCTGTTCTCTAAAAGTTAACCCTATAGAAAGCATCCAGGTTAAAATAAGTGAAGAACAAATAAAAGACTACTTATTTATGACACAGGAGTTCAATTTTTTGGTTTGTCTGGGCTGCATTGAGTGAAGAGGAATTGTCTTGGGCTGCATATAAAATATATAATATACATAAACAAAATAATGTTAACAAGTTTATGATCTTGTGGGGCCACATTAGGAACTGTCCAGGAACACACGCAGCTCACAGGGTAGACATATCTGATCTATGATATTTGCTTCTTCTCCCAAGAAGAGTTGAAAACTTTCTTTCTTACCATCTCGCATTGTACTGGATCCTATGTTATTTTGTTTGATCTTTCCATAACAACTCATGACATAATGAAACAAGGCAGACAACATATATCCTGCCCTACTCTCTTAATGTGTTCGTGTCATTTTGATATTTTAGAAACAGTGGATGCAACCTATCTGGAATGTTTCACCATAAACTACCTGCAAATAATTGGAAGTTTATCAACTCATTTAAAAACAATCCAGATAGATTTACACTGTGACTATCCAAACATTTTATTCTTTTCCCTCTAAACTTCTTACCTCTTTAACATGGGCATCATCAAAATACATCCACATACGAATCTTTGTTTGAAAGAAAAAGGTGGAGTAATGTTTTCCATAGTAGCAGATCATTCCAACCAAATACAATTCACATTGTTTTGCTCTGTCGTCAGTTACTCTGAAGAACAGCTTCAGGGAGGGAAGAATAATCTCAGTACAATTCTTGCATTTCTCTATAACTTAAATTTACTTATTGAAAAGTAACTATTTAAGCTGAAGAAAAAATGTTTGAAATAAATCCAGAACACAGAAACATGAAGGTGCACATATAGATGAAGGACAGTAGCACAGTCAAACAAGAATGTACATATTGCCATAAGATGTAAGACTCACATCACCCAGTTTAAGGCAAGTGCCCAGGCTATGAATGACATCCTCTGCCAAATCTGAGTGATCCGAGTCCCAGACCAGTCCGATGGTGATGATCTGTGGAGAGTTCATCAATACTCGGCGTATCCGAATTTTTTCTCCGCAATTGCTCTGAAAAGAAACCCAATGTATTTAATTCCTGGTGGTTTTAAACATTCCTTTTTGTTTAGTATTATATGCCTTCATCTCCTGATAACAATGACACATCTTGGTTTCAGACAAAAACTTCTGAAAATGCAACTGATTTGTATAGTGGAAAGAAGTAGAAGTATACCACCTACAGTATAAACAGGAGTAACCTGCATAGAGTAGCCCCACAGCAAGGTAGATTTATATTGTGGTGACTCATAGGGGCTGAAAACCAAATGAATAAGAAAAACCTTTTCTCATAGTAAGTTTTACATTTTCCTAAATATAAATCCATCCTGTTGCTTTATCTGTAACGCTACAGTCAGTGATCCTTGTTTAACTGGGTGATAGGTGATAAAAGTCTACTGTAGTTCTTTATTTTATTTCAAGTAAACTTTTATCAAATAAATTTAACAGAAAATAAATAAAATATATTACATTTTTCAAATATTCCTAAATGTTAAAAGGAATATTGTGCATGTATTAAACTGTTTCTAACAAAGGAGAATATTTATAACTCAGGGTTGAAATGAAAGGTCCTTGGTATTATCTGAGCTTGCTTGTTTTTTGCAGATGTTTCATTACCCAAACTAGATAATCATCAGTACTGGCTAGTAATGAAATGTTTTTAAGAAAACAACCAAGCTCAGAGAGCACCAAAGACCCCTCATTAAAATATTTAAAAGAGAATGATGGTAAGGAAAAGGATAATTTTGAAATAAAAGACTTTTTGAGAACATATGCATATTAGAGTTAAGCTAGGTTTTAAGTAATTGGGTTGTATGTTTTCATTATGTAATTTACTCTAGAAGTGAAATATTTGTAGTACTTTTATAAATATCATTTTGTTTTAGCCATTTTGGCTTGGTTCTGGTTGGTTTCCACCTCTGTTGAACTCCTATTGTGTAACAGAGGCCACATTCCATTACTGCATCCAAAAGAATGTACCTAAAAAGCTAACTTGCTCTCCTTGTATTTTCTGCACACTGATCCATCTGTATGTGAAGGGCAGTGGGACTTTGTCCTACTTTGTCAGAGAATGCACCATTTTCTAAAAAAAATGTTCTTTTAGTTGGACTAAGGATTTTCAGTGCAAATTCAATCCCCAGAGTAATATATAATGATAAATCTATTTAGTATACACGTAGTCCTTGACTAACAACCATTTGTTTAATGACTGTTCGAAGTTACAATGTCATTGAAAAAAGTGACTTACAACCAAGCCTCACGATCATCACAACACCCACTCAGTCACATGATCAGGCACTTCAGCACAGGTCAGTCACTTAATGACCATGAGATTCACTTAACAACTACAATGATTTGCTTAACAACTGTGGCAAAAATTATTGTAAAATTGGGTATCTCACTTAACAGCTGCCTTGCTTAGCAGTGGAAATTCTTGTCCCAACTATATAGGTAGTCCGCAACTTACAACAGTTCATTTAGTTCAGTCAGTTCATGAAAAAAGTAACTTATGACCATTTTTCACACTTACGACCATTGCAGCATCCCCATGGTCAAAATTCAGACTCTTGGCAACTAACTCATATTTATGACGGTTACAGTGTCCCGGGGTCATGTGATCCCCTTTTGTGACCTTCTGGCAAGCAAAGTCAATGGAGAAGCCAGATTCACTTAACAACATTACTAACTTAACAAATGCAATGATTCACTTAACAACTGTGGCGAGAAAAGTCATAAAAAGGGGCAAACTCCCTTAACAACATAAATTTCGGACTCAATTGTGGTGGTAACTTGCGGATTACCTGTACTGACAAATTGCATACTAAAAACCTCTCAACTCAAAAGCAGCCTTCAGTGCATACTCCCCCACCCCCATTCGGGCTATTTCTTCTACTAAATATAAATAATGTATACAAACCGGACAGTTTCTCATGTCTCCCATTGTGCTGGCATTTTGTAGCAGCTCTCCAAACATATCAGGTGTCGGTTTGTCTCGTCTTTCCAGCATGCAAATGGCCTGATTGCTTTAAACGTTTAAAAAGTATAAAACAAGAATCAAAATATATTTCTTTATAAACAATATTTAAACCTGTTGCTGTTTCTTGAGATCTGTCATGAAAGAACAGTATTTCATTTTATAGGTTCAGCAAATGTGCACCTAAATAAAATCTATGCCTCAATCAAGTAAGATTTCTAATGGAGTGCAAATTGAACTTTAATGCCTGACATATCTCCTGGTCACTCTGTCGGCTATTCAATTCTGAGCTGAAATTTGTGATGCTTTATCTACGATGAATGCACAGCCTTTGATGTCTTCAAGTTGGCTGAAGTTATTAATGTGACAGTTCCAAGAAAGAATAGTGAGTTTTATAAAATTAAGAAAAATGACAAGCTACTTTCTCCATAGAATTTACAATGTTAAGAAAACAGTAACAGAAATAAGGAGGAAATTACTTAGTAATTTGAGCAGAATTTTCCTTGAAATGGTGCATACATTTCTTTAATTATTTATGACTTCAAGTCAGTGTTAACATTCCTCAACATGTGTGAGAAAGTCCTTGGACCCAGAGTCTGGGGATCCCTGATCTAGAGAACAGTCAGATAAGAAAGGACATAGCCCACAGCTGCAAAATTGGTAGCAAAAGAAGCTCAGAAGGGATCCTCCCTAAATTCAATCAATCAATCAATCAATCAATCAATCAATCAATCAATCAGAATAGAGCTGGAGTGGACCTTGGAGATCTTCCAGTCCAGCCCCCTGCTCAAGAAGGAGACCTTATACCATTTCAGACAAGTGATTATCCAGTCTCTTCTTAAAAACTCCCAGTGATAAAGCACCCACAACTTCTGAAGGCAAGCTGTTCCACTGGTTAATTGTCCTCGCTGTTAGGAAGTTTCTCCTTAATTCCAAGTTGCTTCTCTCCTTGATTAGTTTACATCCATTGTTTCTTGTCTTGCCCTCTGGTGCTTTGGAAATAAATTGATCCCCTCTTCTTTGTGGCAGCCTCTCAAATATTGGAATACTGCTATCATGTCCCTCCTAGTCCTAGACTAACCAAACCCAAATCCTGCAACCATTCATATGTTTTAGTCTCCAGGCTGTTCTGACCCAGCCTTAGCAGAAGCAAGAAACAGACTCTTTGTCACGAAACCCCCCTCTTTATTTACTTCTTGTGAATTAATTGTATTCACCCACCGAAACGTCCAGGCCTGAATCCTGCAGGGGGTTAACTGCAGCAACAGACCTTATGCGATAATTGCAAAGCCGTGAGCTCCCAGCTGAAAGGCTACAAATTTAAGTTCTGGCAAGCAGTCTTTATGGCACAAAACACAATGAGCAAAATCTCCAGAAATACGAACTATTGTCTCCTACGACAACTACTCCCCTTTCCTTCTATTTATTCCCCAGTCAGGGAGGGGCCAATCCATGTCCATGTTTGCTTTGCTTCCCGAATCGATTCCTTGTCCTCCGTTGTTCACCTCTCCTAACTGCACATACGTGCATCTGGAACAGGCCCCAGCTGTTCTTCTTCCTCACTCAGATCAGCCTCCAAAGGCAGCTGCCTCTCCGGTGGCTGGGAAATGTTGGACGGCCTTGGCTCTATCTCTGTGTCTGACGCTGAGCATCCATCAGAACCTTCCCCAGACTCCAGAACTGGCCCAAGTTCCTCCCCAACCTCCTCATCATCCGAGTCTGCCGCCAGCTCCGTTGGCAGCTGGTGGGCCACAACACAGGCCTTTAATCATCTTAGTTGCTCTTTTTTGCACTTTTTCCAAAGTCTCAATTTTTTTTTGTAATGTGATGACCAAAATTGGATCCAATATCCCAGGTGTGGCCTTCCTAAGGCTTTATAAAGCAGTACTAATATTTCACGAGATTTTGATTCTATGCCTCTGTTTAACCAAGGATTGTATTAGTTTTTTGGCTGATGCCACACACTGCTGACTCATGTTTAAGTAATTGTCCACTAGGACTCCAAGGCCCCTCTCACAGTTACGGTTTTTGAGCCAGGTTTCACCTAAGCTGTACTTGTACCTTTGGTTTTTACTGCCCAGGTATAAAACCTTACTTTTCTCCACATTAAATTTCACTTGTTGGATAGAGTCCAGTGTTGAAGTCTGTCAAGATCTTTTTGGATCTGTCTTCTGGGGTGTTGGCTATTCCAGCCAGCTTAATGTCATCTGCAAATTTGATGAGTTCCCCTTCTATTCTCTCATTTAAGTCATTTATGAAAATACTGAAGAGTACTGGGCCTAAGACGGAACCTTGTGGTACCCCATTGCTTACTTCTCTTTATGTAGATGTAGTACCATTAAGGACTACTCATTGAGTACAGCCAGTTTGTCAGCCAGTTACAAATCCATCCGGTCTTGATGTTGTCTATCCCACATTTTTCTAGCTTACCAAGTAGGTTGTAGTCTATTTTGCCAAATGCCTTGCTGAAGTCTAAATATACTATGTCCACAGCATTTCTCTGATCTACTTTGTCACAGCATTTCTCTTAGTCACTTTGTCAAAAAATGAAAAAAGATTGGTTTTGCATGATCTGTTTTTAACAAACCTGTGCTGGCTGCTAGTTGTAACTTTATTTGTTTCTAAATGTTCGTGGATCTGGTTTTTTTTAATATATTATCTTTTCCAGTATCTTTCCAGGTATTGATATTAGGCTGATTTGTCTGTAAGTTCCTGGGTCTGTTTTTCCCCCTTTTTTGAAGGTGGGAACCACATCAGCTCTTTTCTAATCCTCAGGTAATTCCCTGTTGTTCCAGGATTTTTGAAAGATATAGTGTAATGATTTTGAGCTAACATCTGCCAATTCCTTCAGAACTCTGGGATGTAATCTGTCAGGTGATTTATATTTGTCAAGATCAAACAGGTGTTTTATAACCATTTTGTTGCTTATTTTAATTTTTATTTCTAGTCTTTCTTTTACAGTTAAATTTTTGGTAGGTTGGGCTACAGTTTCTTTTTGCGTGAAGACTAATACAAAGAATGAATGAAGCAGTTCTGCTTTCTCTCTGCTACCTGTTACTTCCTTACCATCTTCTCTTTTAGGTGGACCCATTGTTTCCTTGAGTTTTTTCCTTGTTATTTGTATGTTGAAAGAAACTTTTTTTTTATCATCTTTGACTTTTGTTGCAAGTCTTTGTTCATTCTGGGCCTTTGTTTCTTGACTTCATCTTTGCAGATTCGGGCTATCTGCTAATATTCTGCCTTAGTTATATGTCCCTCTTTCCATATTTTGTACTTGTCCTTTTTGTCTTTTAGTTTATCAGCGAGATATTTGTGCAGCCATGCTGGTTTCTTCTTGGATTTCTTGTTTTTCTTTTTCAGTGGAATTGTGTTGCACTGGGCTTTTATGATCATATTTTTCAGTTTCCCATGCTTCTCGAGTTGTTTTTCCCTTTAAGATTTTCATCCATGAAATTTTTCTTAGGCTCTTCTCTGAGTTTGTTAAAATCAGCTCTTTTAAAATTTAAGATACTGGCTGTAATTGTACCAAAGCGCAAGGTGCCATTAAACACACCAATTGTTGTGAAAGATTTGGATTAAGAATCTGAAATGTAACTGATACCACTGTACAATGTATGATTTGGATGTGTATTTTTGTTTCTGTATCTATTGTGTATATTGTCCTGCCCAATGGGGAGAATGTTAGGTTCAGCTTGTAGCTTACTCCTAACTTGTTGGTCAGGCAATATATCTGTTTCTTTAAGAAACAACTGAGCCACGTAATCAGGGTTTGCTGAACCCTGTAATTAGGCTACAGTGCATACATAAGCAGCGCAGAGAAGTGTTATTTGTTTTCCTGATTGCTCCTGTTGCTTCCTGCGTCTTTCTGCTGATTGGTGTTAGACTGGAGTGTTATATGGTACTGTATACCGAGAGTTACTAAAGTCTGTTTGCTTTGGTAAGGGAAGATACTTACTGGACGGATATTACTGTTTATGACCTTGGACTGTTTTACCTACACCGAGACTGCTTATTATCTTGTATATAAAGTATTTTTCTCACACGAGCTGCACGTTTATCTCCTTCCTTGTGTGTTTCTGCTCTGCTCGTTGCACAAGCAACAAATACTTTTTACACACACTCTAACAGTTCTATTGCTTGTGTTTGCATTATAGTAAATTTCAATATGACCTGGTCACACTCACCTAAAGTTCAACTCCATCACTTCTTCTCTATTAGTAAGAATTAGATTCAGTATAGCTTTTCCTCTAGTTCTCTTCTCTATCTTTTGGATGACAAAATTGTCAGCTAGGTTGGTTAAGAATCTGTTTGATCTCCCACTTGCTGCCAAGTTTATCTTCCAGTTGATATCAAGGCAGTTAAAGTCCTCCATTACTACTGTGGTATGTTTCCTACACACATTTGTTAGTTGTTTAACAAAACATTCATCTATTTCTTCTGCTTCATTGGGTGATCTGTAATATACTCCTATAACAATTCATTCTTTTTTCCTTTAATATTGACACATATGCATTCTAGAAGGTTTTCATCCTTAGTTTTGTGGATTTCTGTAGAGATGTAGTGAACTTTTATGTATAATGCAACTCCACCTCCTCTTTTGTTAGATCTATTTCTTTTGAATAGTTTATATCCTTACATCAGTCCATTCCAGTCATGAGTTTCATCCCATCATGTTTCAGTAATGGCAACTATATTATAGTTGCAGACGGGTTTTGGGACCCGGAGACGTGTCATGATTCAAAGCAGGGATTGAGGGGTTTTTTAATTAGGGCTTTTAATAATTTTTTAAGGGGAACTGGAAGGGTGACCAAGGAGGATGGGGGGGGTAATCCACCAAGGTCAGGGTCGAGCGTAGCACGGGTTAACGGTTTGGAGGGTGCTGGATGAGGGATTGGGGAGGGGATGGCGGGCTATCTTAATGAGGGATGTACCATCAGCACAGTGGATGGGAGGGGCAGATATGTCGGGAGCAGGGGACCATATCATGTGTCGGGGGTGCGCACTCGCTACTTGAGAGCAATGGCGCGCCCCGGTCCCCAAGGCTCCTCT